AAAAAGCATGCGAATGACATTGACAGCAACGATTGCCGGCGAACAAAGATTGCGTCATTTGATGCGTTACTTTATACGACTATAATGACAAAATGGGAATAAAATTTGAACAGCCTAAAATGCGGCATATAAAAAGTGTTTTGTGATAATAAAATAGAATAAGACGAATGTATTAGAACATTTATACAATTCAATCTTCTAAATTAGGTCAATGAAAATATTTTAATTATTTAACGGTAGTGGTAATAATTCGCGAGATTTAATATTATAGTAACATACCGTAAGGATTCCTTGCAACAATGGCTCCATCCGTTTCTAATGGTTCTGATTCACCTTCCTTATTTACAGCTCGAACTCTAAACTTGTATTTGTGATTTGGTGTCAGACCCTTGACCGTGAACTCTGTAGGTTCTGGGCCACATTCACCACAAGGTACCCAATTACCGGTATCCTGAAATCGAAACATCAATATTTACCAACAGTACTTTTTTTTAATTTTTCCAGACTGAAGTGACCATTTCAAACATTTTAGCTTTAATATTTTTTCTAAAAAGGTTCCATTCTGGATCATATTTGTTATTATATGCATTTATTTAATTCTTAAGAGTAAATCTAATAAACCTACCAAGTCCATTTTCTCAAGTGTGTATCCGGTAATATCAGATCCTTGCCAGTCGTCAGGCTTTTGCCATTTGACAGTTGCTTTTTCAGCGCGAATCTCAACAACTTCAATTGGTCCATTCGGTCGGTTAGGTTTGTCTGAAATATAAATAAGTGATTAATGCCTGGTGAAGATAAAATAAACAGGAAGAAAAATCTTATTTTGGCATCCTTACCTAGAACTACTACGTCAGCAATGCTTTCGCAAGTACCAGACGAGTTGGTAAGTACCAATTTGTATTTTCCACTGTCAATTCGGGTAGTTTTCCTAACAGTTAATACAGTGTTTTTCTCATATTTGTCGATGGTGATACGTTCTCCATCGTCGCGAATTTCCTATAATTAACAAATGTATTTGAAAAATAAAAGCTAAAAAGGTACAGCGCGTTTGATTTTCCACGGTTCTTGTCATTTATTCCATAGACAATTGACTAGTAGAGTGAAGAAAAGATATGAAAAGTGACCGTGAAAAACCAATTGCGGTAAATCACAACATCAAGTGTTACAACAATAAATTCATACATAGATTTAGTTAAGAAATTGTCGACATTTATTGAATAATGTCACGTCATTGAAGATGTCATAATTGTTAAGATATAGAGACAATATTAAAACAAAATTCGATTGAATGGCCATCTTTCGTAACGTCTGTGACCTACCACCATGTGCTTGTCATGTTTTGTTTGCGCATTGGTGAAGTTTGAAATTGAAATGCGTGAGTTAGAGGTCATATTTCTTTCAGAGCGTCATAAGTTAAAATGTAGAGATAAAAGTTACGACAATACGACGTAATAAAGTTAGTCATTATTGACGTGTGATGATGTAAATTCGTATTGCTAACTAACTTTATTTTCCGATTACAACATTTAAATCATAACGCTCTTAATTTAAAGGTGTTATTTTGCTTTAGAATACTTTATTCAACGCTTATATTTTTTACGTATTTTATTGTGTTTCGCGAGTAGAAATATAACCTCACATTTTTAGTGCGTACAACAAGTACACATACCGTTTTTTTTTAGAACAAAGTGTTGATACAACATCGAAAGCTTACAGATTGTATGTAAAAATGTTAATAATCGCGTCTCTTGCGAGTTTTTGTTTCCAGCAGTGCAATATTGAATAAAAGTTTAATGATAAATAGGTACATAATTTTTTAACAATGTAACTAAATGTAAAATATTCTTCATTCAATAAGGCACAACTGACAGTAACAGTATCATAGTGTCTGTAGTTAAGTTAGCCACATTTGAGAGTGTAAATAATAGAACGTGTGAAAGAAGTTTTTAAAAACATTTATGAAATGCAACATCGATATCACCCAGCTGACCTGTTCCCTGTACGGCTTGCCACGTTTCTTTTTTGGAGAAAATAAAATCATAATTAATTTTTGTTCTTAATTTAAAATGTCTTAAATAATTTTTTTATGAATTTACCAAAATCGTTACCTTATAACTTTACGAAATATAATTTAAATATTGTAAAATAGTATTTGTGACATATGAGTAGTTTCAGTGATTGTATTCTTTTGGATTTAAATGATAATATGACATAACTAAAGACAGAATATTTACCTCTTCCCCGTGCATCCATTTAACTTCCGGTTCGGGCTCACCACCGTATTTAATGTCGAAGGAAATGACTTGTCCCTTTTTGATGATCATACTCTGAAGACCCTCTCCAACAATGTATGGCTTAACTGGAATAAATAATTGCATTTTGCAAATTATTGTTAAATAGTGTTCAACAACTCGAATTAATAATTATTACGTGTAGAATGAAGTTAAGTCAGATAATTTGAGTAATTCAAATAATATAAAATTTGAATATCTTAAATTTAAAGTACTCACCAAATCTGCACTTAGCAACAATTGGCTTAGTGCTGTCACTAGGTTCACCGGGACCGGCCTTGTTGATGGCACGGACTCTGAACTCATAAGTGCATCCCTCTTTAAGTCCGTCTTGGGTTGCTTCTAGGCAATCGCCATCCACTTCTTTGCCCTTTACCCAGTCTTTGCCGAATTTCTCCTAAAATCGCATAAATTAGTCGATCTCCGTATTTAATTTTATAATTCAAATGAAAACATGAGAAAAAACATACCTTATACTCGATGACGTAGCCAGTGATCGGCGCTCCACCATCGTTGTCAGGCTTTTGCCATTTAAGATCAGCATGGTCTTTGTCCCAATCCTTCAGCTCTACGCCCTTGGGCTTCGATGGCTCATCTATAAAAATATTGAAAGTAAGAAAACAATAGTAAAATTCCAGTTTGAAGCAAATATCAAAAGTCAAGGTTCACAAAGATGCGCAAACTCCAAGAGAGTAATAGTTACTTACCCCATGGATCCTTTGCAAGAACAGGCTTGCCAAAGAGTCCAGGTTCACTAGATCCAATCTTATTAACGGCACGAATTCTGAATTTGTATGTTTTCTTTGCGACAAGGTCTTCGACCTTGAATTTAGTGGGTTGTCCGTGCGCCACTTCGGCAACGTTGTCCCAGCCAGCTTTTAGCGACAAGTCCTTAAAAAAATAAATATGAGTAAATAAACTTGTTTTCGTACAACGGTGGATTATAAATCTAACATTATTTTGTTTACCTGTCGTTCAATGACGTATTTGATGATTGGTGATCCACCATCGTCTTGTGGAACTTTCCATGCAACGACACATGAAGTCTGGAACACTTCCGAGACCTCAACGTCTTGTGGTGGCGTTGGCGCACTCTGCATGATAATGGAAACATCCTTGGAATCTTCTCCTTGAGCGTTGGACAATTTGATCTGGTATTTACCAGATCCCTCTCTCGTTGGCTTTTTGAGTTTGAAAAGAATTTTCTCCTGTTCCACCACTACCTCGACTTCTTTAGCCGGTAGAGCTTTACCATCCTTGAATAGTTTAGCCTCAATTGGAGTTTGACGTGTGCCTGAAACTGTACAGGACAATTTTTATTAAAAAATTTCAAAAATATTTATATATAGCATGCTCTCTTAAAAATGATATAAAATCTTACTTTTGTACGGCACTTCAATAACGAAGGGATGTCCTGCGGGTCCATTAAACTCATCTGGGCATTCGATAGATGGCTTCGATTCACCCTTCTTAACTGTAAGTTTGCACGAAGACGTCAGTTTTCCGGATTCACAAAGGATTTCACCGTCATCTTCCATCTCTAGCTTATTGAAGATAAGTTGATGTTTGCCTCCGCCCAGGTTCTTAATTTCGATCCTGTTGAGATAGTTACAATATGAAAGATGTACATATTCGAAACATATCGAATTACTTTTTAAATTATACAATTTTTCATTAACAGCTTAATATTGATATAGAAAATTTCAATCGTACCTCTCATCCGGTACGATAGGTGTACCGTTGAAGGACCAAACAGCCTCGGCAGTTTGGTCCTGCAATTCCACCTCGAGAACCACCTTGTCTCTTTCAACTGCTTCGGTATCCTTCAACTTCTTGTTGAAGCGATTCGAGTCTACAACACAATTTAAATAAGATATAATAACAGTGAAATAAAAATAAAAACGAGGAGTAAAAATAGGAAAAAAGTCTTACATTTGACGATCAATTCGCATGTAGTCTCATCAGCGTTACTGACACATTTGAAGTTACCAGCATCAGTGACCTTGGCATCCTTGATAACCACTTTACGTTTACGACCCTCTTTGACGATTGAGACACGCTTGTCAGCCTTCAGTGGCTGGTCGTTCTTGAACCTATAAAATATTATTGAGTTAGCAAAAATTGTTAAATGTTTTGTTGCAATTTTAGTACTTCTAGTAAGTAAATATTTGACTAACCATTTAACATCACCCATGGCATCGTCAAGTTCACAAAGTAGGGTGATGGTGTCCTTTTCAATAGCCTGCTGCGACTTTAGTACCTTGGTGAATTTGTAAGGATATTCTGGAATAAAAATATTGTATTAATTTAAAAATAGAAATAGTTTTAAAAGTTTTTGTAATAAAATTCAAGCTTCGTGTACCTACCGATAATCTTAACTTCACATTCAGTCTTGTCTGGTTGTTTTTCAATTTTGCACATGTATTTACCGGCATCCTCTAATTTGGCTGCCTTTATAATTAATCTACATACGCCTGATAGATCTTTGGATGTTTGGAATTCATCGCTGTCTTCCAATTTCTTTTCACCCTTCCACCAAGATACTATCGCCAGGCTGTTGGATACCGCACATTCCAAAACTACTTCGTGCTTCGTGTATCCAGTAAGTGTTTTCTTCAAATGTTTAGTAAAGCTGTACGTTGGGTCTGGTTCATCGACTTGCAAGAAGGCGGTGCTTGTCACGCCACCAATTTCAATTGTAATCTTGCCCGTATCTTCCACTTTGGGATTCATAATGATCAACTTGTATGAGTCTCCTTCATTTGTCATCTTATACTTAGAGCCCGGGAAAAGTTCCTTTAAAACCAAAAGGGCATTAATATGAAAGTTTAGAAGTAGAAATTTTCATTATCATTGTTTAAATGTTGATGATACTTACATCCTTACGGAAGAACCACTTAGGCTTGGCATTTGGTTTAGTGAAAATGGCTTCAAAGGTCACCTTCTTATCTTTACCCTCCTTTGCGGATTGATCTACAAGGGGCTTCAAGAAAGATTCAGGTTTCTGAAAGCAATGCCCGTGACCAATTAATTAAACTGTAAAGATAAATGGATTTACGTGTGCGATAAACAAATGTGCTTCTCAGATCAAAAGCTGCTAGTGCTGACGATAAAATACCCCCATTTTATAACCTCAACGATCATTCAAACTCATGACATTCAATGAAAATCATTGTGAGGTACCGAGGCGTTAGATACATCAGCCATTCGTCATCATGATCACCCCTCACTTGAAAACTCATGCTTCTGTACAGAAATTGGAATTTCGTCATTGTGAAGTGCTAAGATTTAAACGATTTGAAATACTACATAATGGTGAACTATAAACCAAAAATGATGTAATCATGGTTCAGGAAGGCTAGACCAAGTGCATTTGCTTCGAAGCGATTCCATAACGAATTTGAAAAATGTATGAAACTGACACGCGACAATTACGTGACTTACCGAAGGTATTGTCAGTTCATATATTTTTAAGTTCGGTTTGGAATCGCTTTAAAGCCAAAGCGCTTTGTCTAGCCTCGAAAATAGTTAAACAAAATAATAGGTGATAAATTCCATCGTTTTTGGCATCTGACGTATTTAAATTCTTATACATCGATATATCTGTGCATCATTGTGACCTGTGCGTTGTGCTACTACTGAAAATATAGTCGTTCATGTGCTGAAAACGTTTTTGCAATACTGACATATAGAATAAGTTTGGGTAACATTTTGTGCTATTTGTACAACAGAACAAGTGTATATTTCTCCAGAAATAACTCTAGAGAAAGCAGAAAATATGCCTCTATTTATTAATTATAATTTTAAGTGAATTTCATATAATATATAAAACAACTCATCAGTCTATTGGAAATATAAAATTTTCCAAACTACCTAATTACTTGTTTAATATCTTTATCTGCAATAAATTTTAATTAAATACGACTCATCACTTTTGGTTATTATATGTTTTTCCTTTTCAAAATTTTTATTGCTTATACCAAACTGTATGGATATGATTTTTATTTATTTATACCTTATCGCCATGAATATTAGCTAAGGATAGGCATTTTCCACTTTTTCTAGACAAAACGTTTAAGTGTTTCGTGATATGTTTATCTGTGCGACAATAATTTGCATACAACACGAAATGCACTGTGTCGTCTTAGACGAAGAAACGCTCGTTGTCAAACCTCCTTTCTTTTGCACTTGTGCAGTACCGGCCAATCCGGAATCAGTTCTGCCAGAGATGTCCGTCTACTATGCGATTTCTATAAAATTTCCATAACTCTTAGTAACTTTTCTCCCTTTAAAATATATAGACTACGTGTGTTGGTATTTATTAGTGATTAATTTTAACTAAAATTACTATCCTAATTTTAGTAGAAAACCCATTAAAGGCTTCACTCATTTTAGTCTCACTAATATCTTACTAAATCAGGTTTTAATAATCTATTTCAACTAATATAAATATAACTATCATCTACAAAATGTATTAATAATCCAATTATAAATAAGCACAGCAGTAAATTATCAAAAATTCCAAAATCTGGCAAACACCGGATGCACCGGAAGAAATTAATAATGATTGAACACGTTCTATGCCACTACGACATTTTTGGTCGTTCAAAAGAGAACTCGCCGGGCGATTCAGTGGCACTGAACGTGTTAAAATGAAGACAGAAATAATATTTGAAAAAATAAAATGACGTGACAGAAGCTCCTCAATCCGACGTCACAAATAAACCTGTAAAGAAAACGGACAACAACGCAAGAGACAATAAATATACCAAATTCATTCCACTTACATTCCCTTAAAATGGAGTTAAAAGAAACGTGAAATGAGGTGGTGATACAAAAACTGTGCAAGTTATTTAAAACTTAATTATTTAGCCATTTTTATTTAAATCGCTCTAAATTGACTCCATTTACAACAGTATTTATGTGTACCATGATACAGATGTAAAGATTTTTGGCATAGCCTTGTTTACAAAAGTAACCGCGTAAACAAAGTCAATTTTAGAGGACGAATTTAGTTCAATTGTTATTTATCGTTTTATTTAATATCATTCCATGTTTTAAAATAGATCTTTTACCCTTTTAGAATATTATTTAAATGTAAAATGATTATTTTAAATTAAATTACAAAATATAACATATACAAATTACTTGTCTCATTAATTTTAAAAGAGTACAAGTCTTGTATTTTTAGATTTCTTTTTATTTTTTCATTTTATCGAACCTTTGATTTCACAGCCTCCAACAATGCGGGCCAATCGGGTATTATTTCGGGAAGAGACATACGTCTCCTTATTTGATAAATGCCCTAGAATTTATAATAAATCATGATGAAGCACTCTTTATATTTCCTACTTCAAACTTCGAAATATGACACCAAGCCATTTTGTCAGTAAGCTATGTATATAATGTGCAAAGATTCGAGCTTACAACAAGTACAACTAATTTTTAAAGTACACAAAAAGTTAATTACAGAAGAGAGAATACTAACATTGAAGTGATACAATAATTTCTTAAATAACCATCCAGCCATTTTCGTTGGATTTTCCAAGAAATCACACTACCGTGCCAAAATATAATTTTGAAAGATCTGACATCGACGTTGTCACAAAAACGTATTTCTGTCATTTTAAAAGTGCAACCAAAGAGGTTTCAATAGTCATAAAAATAGATTAAGATATAAAAGTGTAAGTTTGAAAGTTGTAATGCGGAATGAATGATGATGTTTTGTTTCGAGGACCTTAACCCAGGACCAGTTTGAAGAGTTTCTGCGTCTATCCGCCGGGAATCTATATATCTCGAGTCCTTCTGAGACAACCACAATGAAGCCGTCATCTTCGAAGTAACCGGTTTCTAATCCCTAAGAATCAATTTTGTAACATGATGCATTCGATGTTTACTTCATAAACATTATTCGACACTTCGTATATACAAAATCCAAGGATAAAAAAATTCTATACAGCGAATTAACTGAACATCATTACATATATTTTAAGACTGGGCACAGAAATAATAGATTCATCTCAATAATTGAAAGAGGCATCGTATATCGTTTAGCTGTTAAATAATCTTATTTATTTAACTTAGGATTTGTACTGTAGAACCACGTGCAGATCATTTCCATGAGGCACTGGAAAGGTTACACCCAAAAAGGGCTAATTCGAAAGTTAATTTAGGTTCGTAATTTATAAACACCCATTACATTGAAATTATCGTAGTTTAAATGTTATTTAAATTTTTGTTTAACTTCATATTTATAATTTATGTTAATAAGATCAAGCAGATGTTTTTCTCCTTAACATTATAATATAAATTTCGGAAAGTAAAAAAGCATCTGCCAGTTCTTTATTTTTAATGTCTTTTATAGAATTCATATCACCACCTTTTGCTTTGCGATTTTTTTCCAACATTGATTCCTTTATTTTTCTTAAATTTAAGATATCCATGTAATACTAGAAGACTTACCTTTTCAACTTTCTTTAGAGGTGGAATTGGTTTCTCAACTTCCTTAAGGTCACCCCAATCGGGTTCTTCATTCTTCTCACCCCATTTTTGGTATTTTCGCTTTTTGAGTAAAGCTCTGAAGTCCATACCACTGGCATCTATTAATACATCAAGTTTTTAAAAACTTTGTTATGAGATTGAGACAGTAATAAAATTTTCCCAGCACAAGTACTATGTGTATGCTTTCGGCTTTTGCAGAGTTGTCTATTTTAAGTTTTAACTTCCTTTAGAGGCATTAAACTTTTTTCTTTTGAGAATAGATTGAAACTATCGTCTAATAAAAAGCTTAAAATAAACCTAACTTACCGGATACATATAGTTGCATTTCAGCAGAGTCCTCGCCGTGGATGTTGCTGACAACAACTTTGTATTTACCCTCATCATTGGGCTTTACTTTTCTCATGCACAGTGTGATGCGACCCGTGTCACCTTCTGTGATGTACTTGAAACGGCCACCCTCGATAATTTCTGTTACTCCCTTATAGAACTTGAACGTCGGCGGCGGAGTACCCTCGACCAATATGGAGAGGTAACCAACTTGATCTATTTCCAGAAAAAAAAGAATATTAATAATGTACAGTTGTTGAAATAGAAAATTTATCTTAGTTAATAAGCCATAAGTTCATACATTATTTATGACACAAAATGATAAATTCAGATAACAAGCGAAATTCTTTCAACCAGACTAAAAGTTAAAAATGTGTTATTATTTTACAGGTATTTGTTGTAAAATCGAGCATAACATTTGTAGACTAAATCATAGAAGTAGCCTTGAAGAACATTCTTAATTTTGCAAAGAAGCGACATCTGTAATATAATTTTAGTGGTGAATGTGCTATTTGGAGTACCTAACAGCAGCTGTGGTTATCTGAGTTTATCATAGTAAAAAGTGACATCTTTATCTCTAGCACATTTATTTTTTGCTTTCACTAGATTAAGAGGTACGTTTTCGTTTCTGGCTGCCTTATCTATAGCAATAAAGCAGACATTATTTCAAAAATTGTTTTTTAAATGAGTTCATTTATATTTCCTCTACTTTGATGTTCTTTTTAAAGATGCGGTTTATCTCATTTTCTTTTACAATGTGTTATTTTATCACAACCGTGATTTCAGGTGTAGGAATTTTTCTAGCGTCATTTGGCATAGTCTCAAAATATGAGCAATACGATCGTATCATTTTAATTGGTTAACGAAAGGTGGAGGTAGGAATATTAGCTTTTTGTTAGAAATAGTACTCTGTTATTTTAAATAAGTCGGAGATGTTGTGCGATAACGATACAGTCAGTAGTAAAAGTAGATAAATAAAGATTGATTTGAATCTTACCCTCGACAGCGGAGTTGCTCTCTGGAGCATCAACGATGACCGGTGGGCCATCATTGCCAGTGGGTCTCAGTGGCGTTGAAGGCTTATTAATAAGACCTTCCAAGTCTTGTACAGATGGTCTCCTCGAGTCGCCAGATTTTCGTCGCTACACAATTAATTCAATATTAAAATATGTCCTAGGATACTTACTTTACAGGGTTAATCACAGTTAAAAATACATTGTAATAAGTAATGATATGATTTATTTTAATCGTCAATTTGAATACTTGTCTAGACATAAACTAATTAGCCATTAACTGAATAACATTCCCTCCCAATCTCAAATAGATTAAAGTAGGGCTTCTGCAAAAAACTTAACAGCGACGAGCTTATTAAAAGTCATTAAATCGTACAAGCTGTAAGATTAAATTTAGATTGAAAAATAGCCCTGTAACTAAATACAAGGGACATAAGTAACGTTATGACAGATGCAGTGCGTCATGAACGCTCGCCAAATGACCTGACAATGAAGATCTGGACTTCCTGATATATATGGCGCAACTGCTAATACTGCTCTTAGCGATAAATACTATTGTAATTCATTACATCCGCACACCTTTAAAACATTACATATACAATCTAATAATTAAGATACAAAAAATATAGAATTGAACACAAATGTAATAAATATTTCGGTGATAAAGAGGAATTCGCAACAAAATTTACTAAGGATAAAATTAAAATTTGAAACTTTAATAACTTTTAATAATATCTCGTCATAAATATTGCTAAAATTTAAATCAAAAAAATACTTACCACATCGAGCGTATGTTCTACACTTAGTGTAGTTATTGAAAGCTTTTTTACAACAGTTGTCATAGTTTTAACAAATTAAGTTAAAGATGCCACAAAACGAACGGAAATAAAAAAAATTCAGAGTTCTATAAATCACAGTCACTTATCACAGTTAAATATTTAAGAATACCGTTTGCGAAATTGGAAACTTTTGTAATGAACATTTCGTATTTTGTTCCATTCCCGTCCAAGATTCGTTTCGTTCATGTCCACTTAATAATTGTCGACTTTAAATGCTTAAGTTACTACAAGTGTTACACCCTATCAGGGGTATATTGTAAAGAAAAAAATTATAAACTTTGAAGAAGCTTCGATTAGGAACAGTTCGATCAGTATCGTTGTGTAAAAATGGGCGCGAATGTCAAAAGACTGAGGTGAGCGCCGCGGACAGATAGTCCGGAGTGCGAAGTGCGCGGGGGGCGTGGGCATCTATTTATGCTCAACACAAATCAACGGACCAATTCAATTAATTATCAGATTAAGGTGAGCTATCCGTTCGGTGTGTACTTGAATGTCGGTGTTAATATGTGCAAAATGCTGTCGCTATTCGATGTCTGATCTGCTGTTGACGACTTCTTGATTGTGCGATCTTTCGTTTTTATTGACATTGATATATTCCAAATAAATTAGGGTATATTGATCCTTTCATTTTGTCGTTTTACAAACTTTCCTTCTTTAAATATGAAAGAATGCAATAATTAGCTGATATAATCTCGATAATGAGAACTTACTAGGAATATCATATGTTCCTATATTTTAATTAGTATTGAATGCTAATTGGAACAAATTAAAAAACTACGATATGTCTGCCAATAGTATATTAATCTGTTAATGTAACTTGGTTGTAAATCGACATTTTTTTCAAATTTCGCACAATTCATACGTTACAAAGAAAAAATCTTTGATGAGCTCTTTACTGTCGTCTAGAGTTTGATACTTTTCATTATTGGACATTATCTCATATTGATCGTGAATTATTCTGACCGTGAGAGCAGCGTTAGACATGCCAAGTGTTTTTTGGATATGGTCGTATCGGTTGCCATACTTTGGTCAGCTGTCGTCCCACGCTAGCTCCATACAGTATATTCTCGTCTCTCCTGCATAAATGTGTCTATCAATCACTCTTCCCAAATATTCTATTTGTGGGGCGTGCCTTGTTTTTAATAACATGTTTAATTCTGTTGTTGTCATTGAAATATTTGTGTCTAAATTTGTCAGCATAGCGATCTTGTATTTATATCGACCTTAAATTGTATTGATTTGTTTGCCAATGTTACATGAATCAACAGTCGACTTTTACACTATAAAATTGGTTGTTGATTGGTTAAATTTACTTTTACGAATGCCTTATTATACAATATTGGTGTAGATTTATACGAGATGCATTTTGGGCTACTTAATGGCAGCCGTATATTCCGCAGATAGAATGACTGAAATGTAAGTGAAGATAATATTCAAAAGTGACAATTGAGACCCGAGAAGATTAATATCTTTTTAACAATGCGACGTACTGAACATAACTCAGTCAAGATGCCAAATCGCGATGGTTAAGGATGCATTTCGAGTTCACCTTGAATCCGTTCTTGGCCTACCTTTACAGCTGTATCTATAATAATTATTATCAATCATCAGAACAGTCTGCCCGCAATTCTATGAAGAAGGCAGGAACGATTTAAATTATTATAATAATTTGTTGCTAGACTATGTTCCGTTCTTCTATTAAAAAAAAACTATTAAAGTCGAAAAAATATTTAATGAGACATTCTAGGTAGATTTCCATTAAAAATAACGTTTTGCGGCATCTTGGGCGTTAATATTAATATACAGTATGGATATAACAATATTTAAACGATTATATCACAGTTGTTTTGTTAATAGGATCATGCTATAACTATGAGTACGGATGCATACGGATTTCTAGTTTTGTGATTTATTACATTAAAAGCAGAACAGTTATTTATTGCATGGATTAACCGTAGGTTTCTGAGACCAAAATTTCTGTATAAAACATATCGTCATCCCTGTTATTATCTTCGACATGTTTAAGGCAACAATATTTTTTAAACGGGGATTTTAGGTGTCAGAAATCCATCGTAAGCAACTTAATTATAACGGACTGTGAAGTCTGTGACATTTGCTCCGTTAATATACAATTTTTTCACAATATCTAAAGTGTCACAATATAAAAGGTTGTGTGGATAGCTAATGACACGATATGTCAAGCGACAAATCCAAAAATTATTTCAAAACAATCTCTTATATCACGATAACTTTAGTACTGTCTTAGTTAAATTATTAACGACCTCAGGAGTTAGAATGACCAGGTGTTAGTCGCTCTAGATTGTATGTACTTATATCTATCTATTTTATTATTTACATAAAATGAACATTGTAAGAACCAATATTATTGAATTGGACAGCGAGTGACATATATTTAAACCAATTATTTCGGGTGCTCACCTTTCTATAATCGGTATAATTTAAAATTCGGCTTTAACATATAAAAATACAAAATTAATCACTTTTGAAAAAAAATCTATGTTAGCCACGTATCTAAAAGTTTTGTTCTATGACATATAATTTCTAAACATATATCTTTCACACATTTTATACCTCGTCCGATAGTTCACCCGGCCTGCCGCGTTTCTTTTTTGGGGAAAAAAAATAATTATTTTAGTAGGCATTCTCTGTTAATTTTGTGCGCTTAAACTAAGATGTGCTCTGTACAAATGTGTGTTCATGTCGTGTTAAATGTGAATAAAATTGTTGCCGCCATGTTTATGAAAATTGTTCCTTTCAGTAATCAATGATAAATGTAATTTGGTGTCAAAAATGTTTGTGCAGTGATATTGATGATTTTTTTATTGAGCTTCAATTTGTAAGATTAATTTTTAATAGATGCAAATATTCTAATATTGTAAATTAGTTCACTACATTAGCGGAAAGTTAATAATTTCTAAATCGATCGTTATTGGAAATTCGAAACGAAAACAGAAGCTGTTTTAGTAAATAATTTAAAAGCAAAGTTCATAAGAGAACCGTGTAATATCTAGGATCTCTTATAAGCAAGAAGTTGCAGTAGCTATCTTTGCATTACAGAGAACACCGCTAGTCTGCAAAGCGGCTTGTGAAGACGACAATCTGGGGTACGTTATTGAAAAATAGTATAGAAAGGATAAACTAGAAGAAATATATCATGAAATAGAAAAGAACCAAGATGTGTCTAAGATAGGAAAGTTCGACGAGAAAGAACAAGACAATGGAAATTAATTTGTTCTTTAAACATTTTCGTTTTGGTTTTTCAATTCTGAGAAGTTAAGAATTCAGTTGTAAAGTTGTGTATTGAGTTGTGCATAAAGACATAACAATAAAAAGTCCGTAGAGATATACAACATGGGTGAAATTGAAGTATAGAAAAATAAACAAAATGCTTTGCAAAAGCGAGCAGCGTCCACCTAAAAGTGATTAGACCCAAAAGATCTCACCTTTTTCTCGTCTAAAACTTCTCCAGGACGTAATTTCGTGACCTGTTGTTTAAAAAATATTGATAATAACCCCCTAGTCGTGGCTGTGCCTACCTAATTCTCTGATGCCGAACCTGAGTGACCTGCCTAAACTAACGCCTCTGAATCATTATTTGGTGCTCGACCTCAACAGCTAGTGCATAAGTTATTACGTTATGTGTTGCGTAATCGTCTTGTTAATCTTTGTTAGCTTTCTCCCATACAATTTGCGCTGTAGTTAATGTCTGAAATAGATCCTGCATAGAAATATATGTTCAACCCGTGTGACCGTTATTGTGTGCATACGTGCTTACAAGCTGTGCAGTTTATTTTGTGCTCTGAACCTCAAAAGTGTGTGCAATTTAGCTTTGTGCTTTGTACGAGTAAAAGTATTTTAACTAGAAGGTAAAATGGATAGTCACATACAATGGATATATTTTTTAAAGTTTCGAATTGCATGAAAAGATTATGTGTGTGTAAAGGCTGTCTAAAATATATGATTATCCAAATTTACCAACACATGAGTTGTTTTTAACCGCGTCAGATGCAAATGCATTAACATTTCGTTGACAATTATAGTTAAATCCTCATCACGGCGTTATTTTTAACGTATAGCATTCACGTAATATTCTTAGCAGTTTTGCTTTTACCTTCTTGTCTTCGATCACCTCACCAGGTCTTAGTTTTCTATTCTCCTGTGGATTATGTTTTGTACGATCTTAATATCTACACAAACGCTGTCTGTCGTTGTATTGGTGTATATTGTGAAACTCGTGAATGCTAATTACTAAAATACTAAAAGCGGGGAGTGTAGGACACTACTATTTTAAAATCCGTATAATTCAACTAACCTTTTCGACACTAATCAAGCGAACGAAGTTTAACTCAAAGCTGTGTCGTGGAAATTGCTGATTATTGGCGTAATTCAAAGGAAATAACCAAAGGTGTCTAAGGTTACGGGTTCGGCTTGAGAGAGTAGGATACTATACTACAAAAGGGGCTCAAAATTGTTTATTTTGTACAAAAGTCAAAATTATTAAGATTTTATACAAATTGCAACGTTTAATATAAATAAAAATTGATTTGTAATGGCGGTATGCTTTTGACTTTTGTACAAAACAATAAAACGTACTATTCTAAATTGTATGTCATAATTAAATATTAAGTATAGCTACTTATTCATACCTTTAGAAAAGTGACGATGTACATTTTTAAGGTAGCTAAAGATTTAATTTTGTAAAAAGGGAAAAAAAAATATTTTATTACAAAAAAATTACTAAAATATGTAATACATACCTCGTCGCTGATGATGAGAGAAGGACGTCTTCCCATTTCCTCCGGGGGAGGTATGAGCGAGCCACGTCTTCCGGGTGGAGCGGGTGACAGGGAGGGTTTCCTGGGCATTTCCGGTTTTGGTGATTTCTCGCGTACAACTTCAATTTTAGGTGCGGCTGGCTTTTCTTCAGGCTCCTTAATTTTAGGAGCAGCTGGTGCTGGTGGTTCTTCAGGAGCTTTGACTTCTGCTATTTTCGGTTTATCTGCAGGCTATTAATCAAAAAACAAACATTGTGTTTATTATACAATTCATATAATAATACATCCAGGAATGTCCTATTTTATTTATCAGAATTTTGAACACACCTTATCCTTTTCAGGTTTCTCCCTGGTTGTGGGAGTAGGCGAAATCTTTTCGTATTTCTCAAGTTCTGGCCTTTCATAGTCTGGGATTTCTGGCAAATCTTCTGCCTTCTTCTTAACCGTTGTAGCTTTAGCCTTTTTGACCTCCGCCTCCACTTTTTCTTCCTTCATTGCCACTTTCTGTAAATAAAATAATAAGTATTTCGAATACCTACCGAATACCTACGTGATCTGCTCTTGAAAATGAGAGGAATGGTTTTACTGAAAGTTTTGCTGAAAACACTTAAATCCAAATTTTTATTTAAATAAAAAAGTGTTTTAAAATTAGCTGAATGTAAGTCTACAATGTAACAATAAACTTACCACCGATCCTGTGGAAATCGTGAAAAATAATATAAACATTGTACTTTCATTGTGTAACGAATATTCCAAACTAGTAAAAGGTATTAGAAGCAAAAGCTAAAGCAGGAAATTTAAAAACCATCATATATTTAAAGAGTAAAACAAGTGCAGATGTTGCTGACATAGTAACATATATGTTAATAGTTAGTTTCATACTTACGTTACCTTTTATACAATTAAACCAAGTTAAACCTACAATATGTAATTTCTAACAAGTTATACAATCTACTTGTATGTTATCTAAATACATGTGCTGTTCTAAATATCAATTGTGCCGATATAAAATTTGTGCAATCAAAACTTTGTGCAAACTTTGGTGCAATTTGTAAAAATTTTGTGAATTCATTTTTAATTTTGCTGCTAATACTACTTTGAGGCCAATCTACCTCATCAGGTGTTGGAGTGCTGCTAGGTGGTGTTTCTAATGTAGTCGGCTTGCTCTGTTCCTTGTCTTCAGCCTATAGAATATACGATATGAATGACCATACAATTGTTTAGGTATAAATAGTCATGTTTAATTTTTTATTGTGCTGGAAATATTTAGAGTTATAAGTGTGTTATGTGTATTGTAGTGAGTTATGTTGATGTGAGTATAGTGTAATAGTATAGGAGTTGGTGTGAAAGTTTGAAACGTTTTGAGTAATATAGTCAGCACGTAATAAGAATAGTTAGAGACCAATTGGTACAGAGAAAAAGTCAATAAAACCTTTAAACTTAGGTGAAACAGAACGTATAAATTGCTTCTGCTAACTATTTATCGCAGCAGTGTCTATAGTTGGACAAAGATTAAACCTATTCTGATTAGGTGCTGATTATACTTTTCATAAAGTATGTTTGTGTGTGTACCTGAGGAGACTTAGCCCTTCTCCATGGTACAGTGTCACGTGTGTCTAGAAGTGTTGGCTTGAATTTGTCTTCCAATTCCGGCGTTTGTTCTGCCTGATGGTTAACATTTGAGTTAATATTAACTGGATTATCACGTATGCAATTTTATATGTGTAAAGTTTTGTACATGTGTACCTGTGGTATTTCGGGAATAACGTTCCATGAAAAAGGTACTTCGTTATGCTTTGTTTCATCGTCTGGTGTGATAAATATTGGAACCTAATGAAAACGATATAAGTAAAGATAACGTATTTTTATGTCTGGTTTTATATTTGTATTCTATTAATTATCAATTGTTTACCTCCTTGTTTGTCTGTTTCCTCCAAGGATAAGAGGGCTCTGTGAGTTTATCTGGTATTTTATCTTTGTTAACATCAGCGACCTGACAAATTGTAACTATTTTAAATTATGTGTAAAGAAATAAATGAGTATTTAATAGCAAATTATTAATTTTGTGTACCTCAACTTTTTCACTAGTCTCTGAACTTGGAATTGGCTCTTTGCGCTCAGGTGTTTCTGTTTTCTAAACAAATTTGATACGTTTATTTAGTATGGTAACATTTAAACGTAAAATGTTTAGCGTAAGAAAAGTAATTTAAAAAAAATGATTGACTACCTCTTTTGTGGTACTAGATCGACGCCATGGGTACTTGTCCTTTTCGTTATTTGTGTATTCATTGTTTTTATTAGTAATCGGTTTATCTACACTATTTTCATTATCCAAAGGATTGGATAAAATATCTGTAGCTTTATTTGATGTTGGCTCTATCGCATCCTGTATGAAATGTTTATATTATACAAAATTCCTTCTAAGTTATTATTTTCGAAATTATTCGATAGTTAAAACAAAAAGGATAACTTTAAGAAAGACATACTAAATTATTTCAAATTTTATCTTTGTATATATTTTCAAATAGAATACTAAAACGGAAATTAATAAACTTTGATACCTCTTTCTTTAGGCTACGACGTCGCCATGGATAATTAGATTCTATTGAATCAGTTTTATCTGTTTTATTGTCTGTATCTTGTTTTGTGGCACTTGTATCCTATAGTAACAGTTTAATATTTTAATTAAAACATTGAACGATCATAAAACTGAAGGTTGTTTAACAAATATACCTCATCATGTTTAGAAGGACGCCGTGTAGTGAGTGTAGGTTCTTCTGGTGTTTTGTGTAATGTTCGTTTTGTTTGTGTTGTGTTTGTTTCTGTGTCATCTTCACCGTCCTGTTTGAAGCATACTTATTTAGTAAGTGTACTGCAGTTTATATTGAAGAGTTTGTAAGTATTACCTCTCCTTTACTTGATCGCCGCCAGGGGAAGGATGACTTTCTAGGTTGGTCTAAGCTAACACTGCGTTTTGGTGTTGTTTTGTCATTTGTTTCCTATCAAAAGGTAATAAGTGTTAGAGAGATGTGCATTGGTGTTTTATGTAGTGTGTAAATGTAATGTTCGTATACCTCTGTGTTTGGTTTTGTTGTACGCCATGGGTATTGTGTTTCTGTTATGTTTTCAGTGTATTCGTCGTGTTTTTCTTCTGATTTGCCTTTACTAGTGTCGTCCTATTTTTCGAAAATAAGATTTTTTTTATACCTCATTTGACATAACATATTTGCAATTACATTTAATATTATTGACAATATTGTTATTTACATGACACACATATAGACAACAACACAATTATAAATGTGTATTTACATAACTATTTACAGTTGTTTCTTCAAGTATTTATCTTAAGCATGCTCAACATCTAATAAGCGATCTTACCTTTAATTTTATTTGCTCTAATTCATTTACTTCAGATTCTCTTACGGCGGTCTAAAAGCATAAAGCAGGAAAAATAAATTCACGCTCAGTATTTTTATGGTCATTGGTGGAACCAAAAGCACCAAACAAAACGCAACTAAACTATTATAATATATTAAAATATATTATAGTTATATTCTAGGCATATTTTAAAGTAAGCGAAACACGGTTTATTTTCACGAATAAAAATCTTAAAAGTAAGTTAGCACTAATGTTTCAATATCTTTTAATTATAAAATAAAACTTGGATTTGGCTCAAGGGTATGCGGGAAGCTCTGAAGCGAAAATGGCTATCTTTTGAATTGACAGATCTTGGAAAAAATCTAATTTCCAACAACAATTGCGTTATCTACTCCTTTCTCATGTTTTTGTGCCCTTGTAATTTTTATTCTCGTTATTTAATTTTTTTATTCGATTAATTACCTTGAGCGAACCCTTGCGTACAGCGGATACTTGTTGTTGTTCAGATATTGAAGAAATCGACGACTTTCTACTTTCAGCAGTTTCTTTTGTAAGCTGTATTAAAAATCACACGCAAATTAAAAATATAAAACATGAAAACACCACCTTCTTGTACCGTATGACTAAAATTTATAGGTATATAAAACATATTTTAATAATAAGTATTAAAATTACATTTATGACACATCTATTTAATTTGTTCTTAGGATAACACTAGAACTTTCTTAGGATTATAGGCATCTATAGGTTATATCTATATGTTATATTTATATTGTACCCAGGTATTAGCAAAACTTACCTTAAGTGCTTTGTTTTCAATGATTGAACTTCTACGGCTTTCTGTTTTGATTTCTTCTTTCATCTGTTAAACATTGTTAATAGTTAATGGGCGTTATGAAGTAAATATAAGGAAATTTTAACTTAGATCTTCTGTTGTTAGTATTATTTAAAAACTTATTTACCTCTGACTGAATCGAAGTTCTTCTGCTTTCAGTCTAAAAAAAATAGAAAAATAAATATAATTAACTTTTGAATCATAGTTCAGTGGTCAACATAATCGTGCCGTTCAAAAATTTTGGTATGAAACAGTTAATCACTTTGGAATTGAACAAAATGGAGGTTCATATATTATTGTATCTTAAAATAGTTTTATGATTATTTACATTGACATCATTGCTTTATTGTTTTGTCAAGGAAATCCATTGTCATAGGACAACCGAAATGGAATCGAACATAGGATACAAACATCGATAAATACAGTTGCAAGCACGATAACTTTGATGTATAAATTGTACACTGTTTTAAATGTAGGGTCACACAAAGTGAATGTCTTTCTTTGCTTTCTACCTTTACTTCGAGATATTGTGCTTGATGTTGTGCTTGAGCTACCATTGTCACCTGTTTTAATATGTTTTTCATTAAAATTAAGAAATAGTCTTACAAGATTTATAATAGGTTAAATTTCTAGTTCAATAACTCACCGTTGTTTGTTCTTTTTCTTTCTTCTCCTTGACTGTAGGCGTGGGAGAAATCTTTTCATACTTCTCCAATACCGGTCGCTCGTAGTCGTCAACAAAGTCAAGCTCATACTGGAAAATTAATGATACATTATTAATTTTTTGAAGACCATTCAAGAATATAACTGGCAGTTATTTTAGCAGGAAAGACAGTTTTTATTTAAAATGTGATAAGGCTATGGAGAAAAAAATTACAGATAAAAGACATATACGTACCACACCTGCGAAAAAAGACAACAGAAAAGAACATGCGACTTGCGACGACCACAACAATATAAGCCCACATATTTTGAAGAGACAAAACGAAATAACATATTTGAGGCAATCGACATCACGAATGTGTGTGTGTAAGCTAAGAATGTGTGTGCAGTGTGTGAACATTTAGAAATAGAAAAGTGTATTTATGTGTTTGTAGTACGTGTGCAGTAATATTTTAAACATATACAGTATATACAAAAGATTGAAGTGTGTAGATACAAGTACAGAAGAAATTGACATCATATTTTCATACTCATAAAGTACTACAGTGTTTACCCCATCGTTTATTTCCTGTTCACTACGTGTTGCCTGTTTAGGTTTGTCTGTAGTTTTCTTAACGGTTTTCTTAAGTTTTGGTATTTCGAATTTGCCTCCGTGAATAGCCAAAGGCTCCTAAATAATCAAAATAAGTTTAATATCGGATATCTACATTATATAAAGCGTAATTGATTATAATTAATGCAGGTTCTACCGAATTAGATTGGTGGTGCAGTGTTCAAAATGTGACATTAGAAGGCATGCGTAAAGAGATTCGTTAGTGTACTTCTTTAAATATCTCAACCATATTAAACCCTTTTAATTTCTTTTTTCCTGGTAAACACTCTTTTAGGGATAGAAATTTGAATAAATATTCTACCTCTTTGTCATCTTTGACTCCTTTCTTGACAACAGCTGGCTTTTTAACTTTGAGTGATGCCGCTTCAGTTCCCTCCTAAATTAATTAAATAATTATTTTATGATATTTAAATTTTTGAATGAATAACTTGGTATTGGTTGAGATAATTAAAAAATTGAAAAAGAGGCAGTACCGTTGGCTCTTTCTTAGCTGGTGTCTTGTGCGTAAGAGATGCATCCTCCGGAGCAGTGGTGCTTGTCTTAGTGCGAGGCTTGGTGAGACTGACAGACTCCTCTGTGTCCTCACCCTGACCCCGAAATTATATATAGAAATGTTAGATAGTGCTGCAGAGTCGGAGAAAGTAATATTGAAAAGAAAAGTGCTTAAACCATCCGACATGGAAAAGATAGGTGAATAAAGTATTAAGTAAGAATAGAATAAACATAAAAATAGTGTTTTAAAGAAAAATTTTGTTTTAAGACTGTACATTTTATTATCCATAAGTGCTTTAATATTGCAAGTTGTGGAACTAGGGCGGTGAATTTTAGCTATGTTGTGATTTTTATAGCCCACGAACATTTACGGTTGTGCTATTGTGCTTTTGTGTGTTCTATTTTTCCATAAATTCTTTATACAAGAATACCTTTGTGATAACACTGACTCTCCTTAAAATATCTGACGGTGAAATAACTTGAGATTTATAAATCTCAGTCTGTGGATAGCCGTATAATGTTATTAAATATGAAGACATATTAAAATAGGACAAAAATTTACATCTACAATTTAGTTAAAATAGTTTTTACTAACGCTATTTTTGAAAGTTAATAAAATAAATCTTTTGACTTTGATTACATCATACCTTTTTGTCTTTGGGAGATGGTTTCTTAAATGTTTTTTCCTCAACGATTTCTGGCTTTTTAACGTTCAATTTCGCCTCAGCCTCGTCCTCCTACGTTATATAGAGTGTATTCGTTATTAAATGTAATTATTGAAAGAACTAGGAGAGTGTGTATGTGTATACCAACCGTAGGAGTGAATTCTGCTGGTGTTTTGTGTGTTAATGAGACATCTTCAGGTGCTGGTTTCGACGGAGCTTTCGGTTTACTCAACTGAACCTCCTCATCGACATCCATTGGCTAAAGAAAGAGTGTGTATTAATTTGAATGTTTGTCAATAGTGTCGATTACGTAGTATACGTTTGATCTTAGTCGTACCTCTGGCTTGTCTTTAGAAGAAGGACGCCTAGATGTGAATGACTCGGAAGGTACTTCCTCATCTGGTTTCTTTTCATCCTATACATTGAAAGTTAAAGTGTGAGTTTGTTTCGTTAAAGTTTAATTGAATGTGTTAGGTGTAATTATTTGTCGATATACCTTCTTCTTTTTCTGTATTGGTGTCGGTGTGATTTTCTCGTATTTTTCAAGTACTGGCCTTTCGTAATCATCGACAAATTCTTCTTCCACAACCTTTAAAATGTTGAATAGACTTTTAAAACTTTTCTTAAAGGTATATGAGTAGGCAAATTAATTGTAATTACGGAATAATAATACAAACTTTATAATATAACGTTAGGACCAGCAGAAAATAAATATAGAACAAACCTAATTAGCATAAAATTACCCTATTTAATTCTTAAAATTAGTCGTAAGCTGCGATACAACGTGACGATAATATTAGCACAGTCTTTTGGAGCTTTGTTAAACAGAGAGCTTTATATATACATGCACGCCAAAAAATAAGTATATGTAGGAACAAAATATATTAGAGCGATAGAAAAAAATTGTGTTTTCAAACGTCATTGAAGCGGAGACTGATTAAATTTTAGCCCTGTTGTTACCCTGATTCTAACACACCACAATTTTAAGTGTAAAATGTTGCGTATGTGTATTTAGTTTATAAGTGTTAAGTGTTCCTGTGTAATGTGTAAAATGCATTTTGATTGTGTACCTCCTTTTCTTTTAGAGATGGTCGTTTTTTAGTACCCGGTTCAACTTTTTTAACCGTTTTTTTCTTTGGTTTTTCTTCTGGTTTTTGTTCATCGCCCTAAACAACAAGTATTTTTAATTGTTATTTTACTTTTCTGATTAATTAAATTTATGGTATTGTAATAATCATGTTTACCTTATCTTTAGGTATAGAACGTTTACGTAGTGTTGGCATTTGTGGTTCTTCTTCTTTATCTTTGGGTTTAATTTTACCTTTCATAACATCCACCTCGTCCTAAAGACAATTACAATTTTTTTACTCATTTTGCCTGTATTTAAAAAATACGTTCAAATTACATTTGTCTGGGAAATTTATTGTTTCCTACAATGCTTTACCTGAACGTCTTTAGAACCACGTTTGTCTTTGCTTGCACGTCTAACTTTTTTATTTTCTTCTAATTCCGATTTTTCGTCATCGTCAACAATCATTTCGTCCTATAAAGTTATGTCCATTGAAAGTTATTTTGACAATATACGTTAACAATAAGCAGAAAAATTTAACTATTGTGTAAGTAAGAAGTAAAGATTTTACCTCTTCTAAATTGTTTTGTGTTTTTGTTCTATCTGTGCTTGTTGGTGATACTTTATCGTACTTTTCTAGATCTGGCTTTTCATATTCGTCAACGTAATCTTTCTGTTCTTCAGGCTTTAAAATTTAGAAATTTAAATTAAGAACGTTCTAAATATCTTTTAATAATTAACGCAAAAGGAACTCCCTGTTACCTTTTTAGCCAACCCTTTAACCTGAGCAACTTGCGGCTCTTCTGGTTCTACCTGATCTGGTTTTGTCGGACCTTTGGATAACTTAACTTTCGATAGTTCATCCACGGGCTCCTCCGGCTTAGGAATACCCTTTTTAATGCTAGGTCGTCTTGTTTCATCTACATCCTAGATAATATTCAGATTAAAATTTAGTTTTTTTTTAATATACCAAATTTAAAACAGTGATTTTAACGAGATTTTAATTTATCTACCTTTTCTTTACTGGGAACTTTTGGTTTTTTATCAAGTACGGGTTCTGCTATGGATGGTTCTTCTTCACTTTCAACATCCTTACTCTCAATATTTTCTGACACTGATGGCCGTTTTCCCTATTTGACGAATTGTGTTTTATAAGTTTATTATTTAATTTATGATTTGAAAATTCAGCGAGTGTAAAAGTGTTAGGTGTGTATTTACCTGCGGAGTGTCATCCTTTTTACGTGTTTTGGGTAATGGTGTTGGTGTAATTTTTTCGTATTTCTCCAATACTGGACGCTCGTAATCGTCTTCAAACTCAAATTCGTCCTACATTGAAATACAGTAAGCACATGTTAGCACAACAAATATATGTACATAAAAGCAAGTATAAGCAACATTGACATTCCATATGTAACAATGTTAAATGTAGTATTTAAGCAAACGCTATTGTTAAACAAGACAAATTTTTGCGGTATTGTTACTGAAGCCAATTTTTTTTGTTGCTAAGAATTGTTTTATTTTGAAATTAGTTTGATACAACTATCTCAGTGCTACTTAATCACTTAAGTATTTTGTTGTAGTGTTAAATATCGCACCATACTAACGTTGTGCATGTGAAGTGTAAATTGTTTTTAATTTAATTATTTAGTTTAGAGTTTCATAAAACTGGTATTGTTATGAAAACTATAATTTTGTTTGTTTTCCAAATTTCGTACTACTACCAGACCATATTTACTAATGTTAATATCGTCAGAGTCTTTTGTGTTATGGTTAAGTGTGAATTGCTTTGTTTTGTGTACCTCCTTTTCTTGAATCGATGGACGTTTTTTAATAGTCGGTTTATCTTTTCTAACAGTTTTCTTCTTTGGTTTCTCTTCAGGTTTTTTATCGTCATCCTAAGTAATAAGTGTCATTGAATTATTGTGTTTTTAATCTATTTTATAATTAAAATTTAGTCTAACAATGAGTTTACCTTATCTTTTGGTACAGAACTTTTACGTAATGTTGGCATTTGTGGTTCTTCTTCTTTATCTTTAGGTTTAATTTTACCTTTCATAACATCCACCTCGTCCTAAAGACAATAGTTTAAACGATTTATAATAAATATTTAGAAGGCTATAATTTTATATAATATGAATGCAAGAATTTCCTTTTATTCTACAAATTAATACCTGTACGTCTTTAGAACCGCGTTTGCCTTTGGTGGTACGGGTAACCTTTTCATATTCCGATTCTGACCTTTCGTCTTCGTCGACAATCATTTCATCCTATAAAGTTATTTGAAATATAACTTAATTGGAATTACGTGTGTGATCTTTTAAAACTTTTGTATCATTAAATTAAAAAAAATGTGTATTGTTTAAATTTTTTAAAGGTGTTACCTCTTGTAAATCTTTTCTCGTTTTAGTTTTATCTGTCCTTACTGGCGATAATTTGTCAAGTTTATCTACATCTGTCTTTTCATATTCGTCAACGTACTCTCTTTCTTCATCAGGCTTTAAAAGTTATAAAATAAAGTTAATGTATCATATTTTTACAGAAACGCGCCTAGTTCATTAAGAAAAAATCTCTTAAATGTTACCTTTCCAACTAACTTATGAACCTGAGCAACTTGTGGTTCTTCAAGTTTTTCGTCGCCAGGTTTAGTTGGACCTTGTGATAGTTTGATATTTGATAACTCGTCAATTAATTCTTCAGGTTTAGAAATGCCCTTTTTATCGAAAGGCCGCTTTATTTCTTCTTCAACCTACGTATGTAAATAATGGCTTTAGAAATAATTTTTCGTTCGACGCTATCTAGCGCTATGTATAAAATCTTAATACTACAAATTCGTCATGATTTAGACCTATGTTTGATTTTTTGTTATACCTTTTGTTTGCCGTCGGTTTTGGGTTTTTTGTCCGGTTCTGGTTCAGATATTTCAGCTTCGTCTCTTTCAATACTCTCGATTTTTTCAGATATTGATGGTCGTTTTCCCTATTATTTAAGTGAGTAATGTTGTAATAAGTGTATTAAATTTGATACGAACTTCAGTAAGTGTAAAAGAGTAGTGTGTATTTACCTCAGGAATGTCATCCTTTTTACGTGTTTTGGGTAATGGTGTTGGTGTAATTTTTTCGTATTTCTCCAATACTGGACGCTCGTAATCATCTTCGAACTTTAATTCGTCCTACATTGAAACACAGTTTAGCACATGTTAACACAACACATTTATGTACATACGTATGTATACATAGAAGCAAGTGTAAAGCAACATTTACATTTCATATGTAAGTTATATTGTTACACTTTTGGTAGTATTGAAGCATATGACACTGTTGATAACAAAACCTATTGCAAAATTGTTACCGAAGCAAAGTTATTTTTATTCGAAATATTATTTTTTGTCAAAGTATTATCCTATAACTACAAGACCATTTATTTTAATAATGTTAAATAATGTCAATTTTAAATGTTACGTCTGTTAAGTGTAAACTGTGTTTAGTTTCGTGTACCTCCTTTTCTTTGATAGATGATCGTTTTTTAGTACCCGATTCAACTTTTTTGACAGTTTTCTTCTTTGGTTTTTCTTCGGGTTTCTTTTCTTCGTCCTAAGTGTTAAGATTTATTGATAGTTAATTTAATTTTTTAATTATTAAATTTAGTCTAAGGAAAAAGTTTACCTTATCTTTAGGTACAGAACGTTTACGCAATGTTGGCATTTGTGGTTCTTCTTCTTTATCTTTGGGTTTAATTTTACCTTTCATAATATCCACGTCATCCTATAGACATCAACATAGTTTTAATTAAATAAAGCTTTCTTAAGAACGATATTACTGTGGAAGTTGTTTGTAATTGATAAATCTGCATTTCAAAATTTTACCTGAATGTCTTTAGAACCTCGTTTGCCTTTAGGCGTTGGACTAACTTTTTCATATTTTTCCAACTCTGGTTTCTCGTAATCGTCGACAATCATTTCGTCCTATAAAATTATAGGTTCATGTTATAGAATTTTCATTCATTAAATAGTACAAAATTTAATGAATGAAACTAAATAGAAACGGAATTTAACTGTTATTGTAATCATTGTGTACCTCTTTAACTCCGTTTTGTTTTTTATTTCTGTCTGTACTTGTTGGAGACATTTTATCGTATTTCTCTAAATCTGGCTTTTCATAATCATCGACGTACTCTTTATCTTCTTCAGGCTTTAAAATTTAGAAATTAAAATTAAGAAGGTGATAAGAAAAGTTTTAACAATTAACGAAAAGTAACTCGTTGTTACCTTTTTAGCCAATTTTTTGACCTGAGCAACTTGAGGCTCTTCTGGTTCTACTTGGTCTGGTTTTGTTGGACCTTTGGATAACTTAACTTTTGATAGTTCATCCACGGGTTCTTCGGGCTTTGGAACACCCTTTTTAATGCTAGGTCGTCTCGTTTCATCTTCAACCTACGTGTACAGTTTCGTTAAAATTTCAAAATATAAAAATACTACGCATAATAACTTGAATACAATATGATGGGCATAAAATTGTTTTGTTTTCTACCTTTTCTTTGTTTTCAGGTTTTTGTTTCTTATCAGGTACAGGTCCAGCCGATGATGGTTCTTCTTCACTTTCGATTTCTTCAATTTCAATGTTCTCAGACATGGACGCCCGTTTACCCTATTGTGTATGCGCATTTTTAGTGAAATAGTTATTTTGAGTTTGAATAATTTGTTTGTAAGTGTATAAAGTATGTAGTTACCTTAGGAATGTCATCTTTTTTAGGTTTTTTATACAGTGGTGTTGGTGTAATTTTTTCGTATTTCTCCAAGACAGGACGCTCGTAATCATCCTCGAACTCGAATTCGTCCTACAGTTAAATACAATTTAGCACATCTAAACGTTAACACATGAAACATAATACAGAATGAAATGTGTAAGTAACGATTTCTATGTAAATATACATAATGTGTCACGGTACGCTTTTTGCAGTACTTTTATAAAACGCCTTAGTAACTGTCCTTTCTTATGGTAGTTCGCTGTTTACAACATAAAACAGTTTGATTTAGCTTATTCAAAATACGCTTTCGATATTTACAACAGAAAACTCTAATAAATATTGATGCACTTTAAATTACTTACTTCGGCCTCTTTTTTAGAAACAACCTTCTTTTTGACGACCTTCTTTTTCTCGCCGACCTTTTTGGTTGTCTCCTTCTTTTCTTCTACAGCTTTAGTTTCTTCTTCTTTAGGCTTCACTGGTTTTAATTTTGGAATACCTTCGATTTTGGCTTCAGGTTCAGGTTCTGGTTTCTTCTTTCTTTCTTCAATTTTTTCTAAAAGTGCCTTCTTTTCCTCTTCAGTTTTTGCGGTCTTCTTTTCCAAGACTTTTTTGGTTTCTTCAACCTCAGCTTCAGATTTTTTAGCTTCGGTTTTCTTAGCTTCAACTTTCTTTACTTCTAATTGAGCTTCCGTTTTGTTTGCTTCAATCGTCATTTCTTGTTTGCTTTCTTCCACTTTCGTTTGTTCTTTCTTTGTTACTTTCTTTGCAGCGGATTTCTTTTCTTGAATTATTTGCATCTCTTCTTCTTGTTGAATCTGTTCCTTTGAAAACAATGTTTTAATTTTGTAATAGACATACTCTACTTACTTTCATAATAGAGACACATTAAAAGGAACAATAAAATTCAAAACTGTTATATATTTTTAGGAGCCCATTTACTAAAACAATTGAAATCCTAAAAGTGTTAAGTCATATCTAAAAAATTCATAGTGTAGTCTATCAACACTTTAACATCTAACACTTACCTGTTTCCTTTCGTCTACATGATTTTCCTCAATTACCGATTTTTCTTCTACTATAGACATTTCCTCTTCAGATTCCTCTATGACGGTTGTTTCTTCCTCCTCCTCCTCCTTTTTCTTTTTCTGGAGCAGAAAGGAAAGTTTAATTATTCTACATTTTTACCTTAAAATAACCGTGAAATTTAAATAATCTTAGAACGTGTAATTTTTTATAACAGGAGATTTTAGGTTGATGAGTTCATGTTTAATTGTTTTTAAAACAATAAATATAAAATAATCAAACTATTACTTTACCACATAATTTTGAAGTTTCATACAGGTGAAGCTAGAAGTTCTAACACAGAATAGATTATATTCATAGTATAAATTAAAATTACCTTTTCTTCCACAAGAGTTAGGTCAGCACTGGATTCGTCCTCGCCGAATTCGTTTCGTATTACAACTCTGTAGTTTGCGACATACTTAGTTGACACCTTTCTAATGATAAGTCGTGCGTTGGTGCCATCAAAGGAAGTGTTGATCTCAGATGAATCTCTGATAACTGTAGAATTCTTATACCAAGTACATCTACAAGATTGGTCTGATGTCTTGAGAACTGCTACAAATTCGGCTTCTTCATTTTCTTTTCTTGCCTATAAAAATAAATTCATTTTTTTATTTCTAAATGCATTTATCAGTGTAGAATACTGTTGTTTAATTTAACTTTGGGGCATTGAAATCATTAAAAATATTGGTACTTACGAGACTTCTCAGATGTTTAATGATATACGGCTTATCGCCCTTTTCCTCAGGAATATCAGTGATCTCAACTTGCTGAGACGTAGCCTCGCCCTTCTCGTTTCTAGCAACAAGTTTGTAAGAGCCTTTGTCTTGTTGAGAAATATTTGAAATTTCTAATTTAACCGTAAATTCGCCCTGGAAAACAATGACTTATGTAAGTAACGATCTTTTTTATAAAAATATTTCATAAATAAGTATATGAAGCAAAGCTTACTTCTCTCAGTGGTTCAATCAATACTGTGTGCCTGGAATCTTCTTTGACTGCACTTGCTTCCTTAAACCACGTACAAGAGGGTGCAAATTTACTTAATACTTTACATTCAACGATCACAGTCTTCTTCTTAACTATTTTAATGATCTTTGGTCTCTCTTTGATAACTGGAATGACTAAAATAAAAAAAACAACGTAAGTCTATCAACATTATTTGTGGAAAAATAAATTTTTGTTTATATTTAGCTTGCACATACTTTCAATATTGAGCGTTAGATTGGCATTGAGCTCTCCAAGTTCATTTTTGATGTTGCATTTATACAATCCGGAGTCATCAATACCAGGGTCAATGAGTTCCAAAATAATTGTATAAATATCTTCTTTGACTTCGACCCTGGTTTTAATTTTCGACGAGTCCCTTATTTCTCTACCTTCGTGATACCACACGATAGTCGGTCTCGGGCTAGCTTTCACTTTACAACCCATAATGACCAATTTTCCGTTGTCTTTAGACTGAATAGTGGGCTTTTCAACAAATGATGGCCCTTCACCTTCGGGTTCTGGTTCAGCCTCAATATTTAAGTTTAGATTAGCATTGCTCTCGCCAAATTCATTTCTTACGTGACAGCGGTAAGCGCCACCATCCGCTGCAGTAGGGTTTGATAAGAGCAATACAAGTTCATAAACATCTTCGCCAATTACGGTCGACTTAATTTGAATTTTACTGCTAGCCTTGATAACCGTTGTGCCTCTGTACCACGTTACTTCTGCCGCCGGCTTTGCTTTGCAGACACACCTCATTGTTATTAACGTGCCATCCTCGTTAGGAATTATTCTTGGTTTCTCGATGAATGATGGAGCAAAGCCATTTTCATCATCCCCACCTATAAAAAATTAAATTATTAAACATGTAAGGTATTACAAACATAGTAAGAACAGAACAGTCATGCTGCAAAACAAGCACAATGGCCGACATGCATTTGCTCCTGTATGCGTACGTATATACATCTCTATTTAAATTTGGATTTCTTTTGTATTTTACCTTGAAAATTGAGAGCAATGTTAGCATTGCTTTCACCAAATACGTTAAAGGCGTTACATCGATAATTTCCGCCATCTTCTTTGGTCGGATTTAAGATTTCTAAGGTTAAGTTGAAAGTATCTTTTCCAATTGCTTTTCTAGACATTTTCATTTTAGCACCATCTTTAATTTCTGTATCTCCATGGAACCATGTGATATCTGGCATTGGATGTGCTTCAAGTATACATTCCATAATTAGTAAGTCACCATCTTGTCTAATAGTGGGCTTTTTAGGAAACCTTGGTGCTTTACCAGCAGGAATTCTGTTTAAAAAATAAAAGATTTATTAAAATCCCTACTGAAGCTCTTTAATAAATCACGTTATATAAAAGAGCTTACTTTGGTTTATCTCCACCTTCAAAATTTAAATTGATTTTCGCTACGCCTTCTCCGTATTTGTTTTTTGCTACAGCTCTATACTCTCCCTTATCAGAATTTTCTACGCCTATGATTTCTAGTCGCGCCATGTAATATAAAGTTTGATCCTCCTCGAGCGTTATTTTGTATCTATTACTTTCTTTTACTATCTTTTTACCATGGTACCTGTTGTGTACATTAAATATGTGTTAGATTATATACTTTCTCTTAGTATATAACACTTTTTCAACTTAGATAATTTTTACTCTTACCATGTGACGGTTGGTTTCGGTTTGCCAACGCATCGACATTCGAAAGTGATTTTGGTACCATCCTCCGATTGCCTGATGACGGGCCTCTCCGTAAAAGTAGGTTTGATTGAGTCTTCAGGCACGGGGGCTTCGTCGCCTATTGTATCAATTTCATAATTATGTTTTACAATACGTCCATTTTCAGTAAAATTTGCAGCTTTCTTATTCATATTGTTTGCAATGTCATATTTAAGATGTTTTCTCTGATACGTGTATTTATTAATTATATTACTCAGCCAGATACGGAATATTATAGAGTTAATTTGAGGATATTAAGAGAGTAGCTATTATAATAAAATATATAAATATCATATTTGGATTAAATTTTATATTTTTAATTCTACTATATAATATAAAAACGGTACGCATATCAGTTGCTTTGCTATTACTATAATAAACGGTGCAAGTGCTAAAGCAAAAGTTAACAGATTCTGTTTTAATAAAAAGGACATTTATAAAATGTAAAAGCATACCAGCGTTGTTTTAGAAAGTAGTTTATGAATGCGTTATTATGTAGAATGGTGTATTCAATGACATGCAAATTACAGGTGATAAGCAAAATGACGTGTTAAATAAAATGAATTTAAGACATGTATGTGTAGTGTATAAAATTGTGTTGCATTTATCATATAATGTAAGAAAACATCTTAAACAGTGACAAGTCAATTGACTGACTATACATAGAAGTTGGTATTGTGTAATATGTGGAGTATTTGATATATTATATTAGTTTAATGATCGTATAAGCTTAGCTGCAAATTCTACGTGAACAATGGAACTAACAATGTTTATGACTAATGGATTAGATTCACACATATAACTAAGTTAAACATTATGAGCATTTAAACATCTAATAGTATTGAGTATTATGTGCCTCGTTCTAGTGACTCTAACTTCAGAATTTGCTTATTATTTTTTCTTCAATAAGGAAATGTTAGACAGTGATTTAACATTCAATTGAAAACCAAAGACTTGAAATGTACTTGAAAATAGGAAAATTAATCTCAACGCAAACAATGTTTTAGGTTAAAAATTTTAAATAATATTTTTGTTGCGATTGTCTTTTAATTCATGTACTGTTGCTCACTATCTAAATCAATGTTAAACTTATAATTAGTAATAAACAATTTCTTACTGTCGAAATTCAAGCTGATTGTTGCATTGCTCTCTCCAAGCTCGTTCTTGGCTGTCACCCGGTATTTGCCTGCGTCCTCTACTGTCACGTTGTTGATTTCCAACGAGGCGTAGTACGACTTGCCGTCTTTGCTTACTGTTAGCTGTTGAACAGATCACAGAAAAAAGTAATGTAAATAACTACGATATTAAGCAATAGTTGCTTTTACACTTGCCATTCGGCTTGAGGAATGCTCTTGACTAATTTTAATAATGGTGCGGTTTCATTTGCCTATTAAAATGTTTAACATATGTTGTTTTATATTTATTTTATTTTATTAATAAATTGAAATATTTTAATTGTAATTTATTACTTTTAATCAGTTTGATTCTTTGAAGTTTTCTATAAAATGGTAAATCCTCTTTTAACTTAGTATTAAACAAATGTAGGTCATCGACTATCTTGCTTGTATACACCTGTCTATGTTTAAAGCCAAATGGATCGAGGTCAAGGCCATCTCTTATTACTTTAAATTTTTGCCTGGATCTACATGTAGGTCATGTAAATAATATTATTTTCGTTTAAATTCTATAAGATTACTATCAAATTACTTACTCTTTATCTTATTATATGTTCAACTCTTGGAGAGTGTTTTTAAATAAGAGTATTGTCGAATTTGTCGATAAACTTTAATCCCGCTACAGACGTTCGACTAACCAGTTAAAACTATGCATGTGCAGGCAAAACTTTAGCTGTACACTTCAACTGGTAGTTAAAGCATTGCCTATTCATGCATTGAAAGTCAGTATCTGGCTTAAAACATAAGAAAACCGACTCAAAAAATGTTGCATTAATCATCAACCCTCTTCAAAACTCCATTATCGGATTGAAAATTTCAACAAGCATGCGGTAGTTTTTTAGTGTCGCTTACTTTATGTCTGGATCCGGGTTTGACTTCAGTCGTGTTGTGGAACCAGACGACGCTGGGCACGGGCGTTGCCTCAATACGGCACTCGAAGATGAGTCGCTTGCCGTCGTCCTCCTGCCTTATGGCCGGCTTGCGCGCGAACGTTGGCGCTTTGCCGTCCACTTGTCTGTTCACACAACAGTAGGAAAGGATTAATATTCATTATTTTTCAAGCCGTCGCACACCTTCAGCTTAAAACTCAATTTTTGGACTGTACATTTAAAACTAACATGTGTAGGTAAAACTAAGAACTGTGCAGTTTATCTAACATTTTAAATTTTACCTACAAGTGTGTAGCGGGCTTAAATTTTTGTTTTTATTTAAAAAAAACATTAAATTGTGAAAATTACATACATGGTAGGATAAAATGATAAGCGAAATTTTCAATGCCGCAACATTGAATGTATATACAGTTATGATGTACCAATTCCATGTGGTATTACATTTAGCCTTAGGTGCAATGCTTGGCCCATATACCGAGACCAGACAAAAAGTTTTTATTATAGTTATAAAATAGTTAAATATATTTTACTTACTTCTGTTTATCCTCGTCAGCGGCTGAAAGATAAAAAGTGTGGGTCAATACAAACATGATTTACGATTAAAGCAATTGGATTTGCCTAGATACAATCACACGGTACAATTTTAGCGAATGAAGTCGAATGTTTATGGAATTAACATCAAACAGAAAATGTATCTTGATGAATTCTCAGAATAAATTTCAGGTGGGTTTATTCTAGATTTCAAGGGGATTTTCAAACAATCTTTTTGTAAGAATAATATAAGTAGAAGACACATAGGCACATAAATAGTCTAGGAAGACGAATAAATTTATAGTTAGAAGAAAAGAAAGCAAGCTTACGTTTCGTAGAATAGATTTTTACCCATGAATAAAATCTAGGTATATTTCTATGTCTAAATTTTATCATATGAACAAACGTCTTTTTATATTGGAATTTTGTTGTAACATTATGTTTATAAATTTCATGAAGCAAACTTTTGCTAATTGTTCTTTTCGTAGAAACTATTTTTTTCATTAACAGTTTTTTTATCTATTTATTTTGTTCGCGCATTCGTTATTTGTTAACGTCATAGATTTCAGTGGTATATAGTCATCGTAGAATATTAAGAAACACTCCTTACCAACAGCCAACGCAATTCAGCCAAAGTTCTCGTCTTGGCTCGTAGCGAAAAGCGTGGGTTACTACTCTGTAGTCATTTTTTGTCGTCACTTATTTTCGTCGATGACTAATGCCATTATTTGCGAAGGCATTTTTATTGGCGTTAGTATTGGATTACGAACGAACATTGTAACAAATGTTTGATAAAGTTTGTCTAACACTAATGGTAATATTAAAGAAAGATATCAAGAATCTCATCACCAACGATCATGTTTACTCCTAGATGTTTCAGAAGAAGCTTGATTGACCTTCCTTGCTAAACATATATTTGGTTACTCCCTTTTTCTATTATAGATATTTGTAGATAATATATATTTAACTTACGGCTAAAGTTAAGATTGATGGAGGCGGCCACCTCGCCCATCTTGTTCTTAGCTTTGACCTTGTACAGCCCCGCGTCCGTCTCGATCACGTCGTCAAGTTCCAGCACCACCAGGAACTTGTTGTTCGCGATGCTTTGGATTCTGAACAGACATTTTTATATTACTACACGAAGGACTCATGGGATCTGCCATTATACAATTGAAACCTTGTTTTTTTATCTTAGTTAGTTTTATTTTATCATGATGATTATTACATCAGAGAATTTCTCCAGATAAGTTACAAAGTCTCCTTGAAAAATAAAACTAAGCACGAAAAGAGCATTTAGGTTAAGGATCTTAGGTTTGATACTATGTAAAATATAAAAATAACAAATGTAAAATTATAAAGACAATTTACGATTTAATGAGGGCAATGGCCCCACCAATCTCTCTATAAAATAACCTTGAGTTTTCTTGTGATACATTATTGTCATCCTTTACGTCTATACATGTAAATTTTTAATACCGTATCGTGATTTTCAAAGAAATAATATCAGTACAGTTGCCAAGTTCTCAATCAAAGAATTGTCATAGCTAGAACGTAAATTGTGGTCTTGAATAATCACCGCGATCAACGTTATCTCGTACCAACTCTAATGTTATAAAATTCATTGTGGATTGTCTAGTTTTGAAATAAAAAAAAACATATTTAATTACTTTTCTACGTAGCTTATTATACTTCCAATCGAAAGGTATAACACTAGTTAAAATCGTTTTTGTCGTTTAATGGAATTGACAAACTTAGAACCCAGAGTCTTTAGTAATAATAAATTAGGGATGTACTTAGTACTCACTTAAACGCAGTTCTGCTATCTTCTTTAAGGAGCTCATCGCTGCGGTACCAGCTGATCTCCGGCTTGGGGGAGGCCAGCAGTTGGCACTCGAAGATGAGTTTGTTGCCGTCATCTTCCTGGCGCAGCTGCGGCTTCTGCGTGAAGCTCGGGGCTAAATCGTCAGACACCCCCATCGTGCTAACTGCGGGTCATTACTGCCGGAAACAACAGCCTCTCCTAACTCACGAACTCCTACACCTGGAAACAAACGAGTTATTAGTAGGTACTTATATTCATATCTTACTTTTCTCCGTTCACGGTTCAAGGTCATAAATGGAATATATATTAATGTAAAATTATATTATTTGACTATCTTTTGCCGACTTCGTCCGCGTCCAATTAAAGAAAAACTTAATAATTAGCCTTTGTCTTCTTCCAGACAACTCTATATCTGTGTCAAATTTTGAATCCGTTTTGAAGCTAACTAATCAATCCGTCCTTCTTTAGCATTTATAATATTGGTAAGAATTTTACGTCACAAAAACGAGTATCTTAGATTATGTTAATTACCATATAATGTAAATGAATCTGTTAAATTGATATCCAACCTTTGGCTTTTTGAAAATATAATTCAACAATTTCTTATCTTATCTACGTCTTAAATAGGAAAGAAAAGTTCATAAGGAATTATATAAATATACTCTTTAACAGAAATACAAGAAAATAACAGAAAATCAACTTATCACTTTTCATCCCGAAAATGCATTCTTCCCGCGATGAATTCGCGGGGACCAACTGCTTAAAACCATAGACGATAAATACAAGATTTGTCAGTCATAGATTACATCATAATTAACATATTCGGCGTTAAGTCTTATGGTCTTGCATATACTGACATTCCTGAATAAAATCTGCCCTAGGTTTTACCTCATCCCTTAGGATATGCACGTATTTTTCCTTGATCTATAGAATATGAGAATCATTCGCTTGCCAAAATGGAATGTATATGTAATAAAAACAATCAATCAACTCATACTTTAAATGAAGGTTGTTTTATTATTAAAAAATAAAGTAAACAGTATAAAATTTTATATAACATTAGTTTTCCTTCATCTGAACATTAATTAGAGAAATTTTAAAATTAATCAAGCAACGCGCAATGCTTTGTCTTGAAAATAAACAAATCAAATCAAGCTCTCTCTCCTATCCTTAACCTTTGATTAAATATTATAATGTAGTGTAAATCATCTAATATTTGAAAAAAAAATGTTTTAGTGTTAGGTAAGATTTTATCAATATCGATATTACAGTTTGAATAATTGTGGCTACAAGCATCAATTAAGCTTCAATTTAATTTATCTTTAAATATTTTCAAATTCCAAACTCTTCGTTTCATACGTATTTTATGAATTGATCGGGATTACCAAAGAGCGTTTTGCCAACCGCATACGAAAAGTAATTTCGTAAACAACTAAAACATTAAATTTTACTCGACGTATACTGGGCGTTAGCCAAAATAAATGCGTACAAAAATTTTAAAGAATAATATTAACATTTACTGGGAGACAAGTCTCAGATTAATTGTAAAATTATTACAAAAAATATAGCACCACTACGTATATTCGCAGATTTTGCAATTTATTTTGAAACAAAATGAGATTAAGATAAAAAGTCAAAGTTCATGAGCTAATAATGTGACACGATGGTACTTGAATTTAATTTAGCGTTAATTTCCATGCCTACTTCAACTAGTTCTTCTGCATAGTTCAACTAGTTTTTAATCCGTTTGATGCTTGTCTATTTTATTTAGCTTCATGGTGTGTTAATTCCGAAACATTTGTACTAAAACTTAGTCATATTCCAGGCATGGCAAACCATAGGCACTGAAATATTTTTTACGTAATCTTAGTTTATTTCTCAATTATATATGGATGTTCAGTATCTTAATAAAAAGAAACAATATTCTATCACAAAATGTATTATGCTCTTCAAAAAAGTGTGAAGTAGGTATTAAGAGTAGCAAAAGCTGGTGATATCTACGTTACGGAATGCTCCCAATAATTACAATGTTATTTACTTAACATTTCTATAGAAACATGGCATGTTCATACGTAACAGTTCGCCACCCCTGTGTTATGTCAATTTTAAGAATAAAATAAAGGTAGTTTTATCGATTAAATTCGGTTGGTTTATGGTTAAAAAGACAGACTTCTAGTCCTGGGTTCAAATCCTGCCATGTACCAATGTGTTTTTCGATTTCCGATTTACATATGTACATTTATCCAACGTCAACCAACCCGCTCTTGTCCAGCGTGGTTGACTATGGCCTAATAACCGTTAACTTAGGGTAGGCTCTGAGCCCCTCGGTGGGGACGTATAGCTGATGATGGTGATGAATAACTATGTCAATAAGGATTATTTTTCTCTTAAAATTGGGAATAAAAAATTGGAAAGCTTGTTTGAATTCTATAAAATGTAAAGACAATCTTGTTATTATACTTTCGGTCAAATCGATAACATCAACATGGCAAGATCACTAAAGTCTTACACTATGATATTAGTTTTCACTTACCACAGCAACATTTAATCATTATGATGAAATAAAAGTAACATATTTAAATTAGTTTACTTTAAGGATAGTATCGTATACAAAAAAGGAAAAAGCAAAGAAAAGAATTAAATAGGTCATAGGTGTCACATCAATTTACTAATTAATAACAGGGGGAAAGGGGACTGGGCAATCAACGTCATATTTGAGATAAAAAAAGTTTTTTTCGTGCTTCTTTCAAATGGTTTAAAAAAAAATGGGAAGTGTTAGCAGATAATAAACGCAATGTTTTAATGTCAGTTTTCTAGGTCATCAAAAACTATTCAATCATAACAAAGTCTAAACTTAAAAAACTATTAACGATGATAAATAAAATACGAATATTTTACACACAAACATTACACCCTTCCTATGTCTTCCCTTATGAAATGCACAATCACGGACCCATGTAATTTAAGCAATTTTAAACTCATGGTTCTTGAAGATATCTAAATACTGTAAAAGCAGTAGCGACCTAGTAATGAATAACTGAAATATTGTTGAAAAAAAAAGTTTATATGTCGTCGATTTCATATATTACAATACTGTTTCAATTCAATTGTTTATAAATTATGCTATCGAAGGACACGACAACAAGTTAAAGACCATCGTTATATGTTGACGATAATATTTATTACCGAATCATCATCATGTCAGAAGATCATCAATCATGTTATGTGAACATTTATCCCCAAGTATCATTTGTCTGAAGCTCCTTGGCTCAAGAGCTTTCGTACACTAGCGAGTGACTCACACGGTCAGCGCCATCTACTTGGACAAGGTGAAGTGTACAGTGTGTAGGCATGTTAAAATTTTCACAAGTATAAACGAAACGTCTCGATCTATTTCTGTAACTGCTGAAGGCCTCGGAGTTGGGCAAACCGACGTTGAGCTTTTCTTATAATATATCCAGTAACTTTCATCGATTACCTAATGATACTCAACGTTAAATATTTATCATTTCAATTATAATTGGACTTGATCTTAATAAAGTCAATGAATAAAATGTCACTGCTGAAATAGAATTAAATAATGAAATAGAAAAAGACATACCAACTAAATCAGATGAAAGTAATCCAAATAAATATAGATACACAAAGCACTTGAGATGAACACAAACACACAATAGTACAAATCGAACGATCGATCGAGAACTTGACGAAGGTTATTAGAAACTGGATTCGTCGAGAAATCGGGATAGTTTCGCCGGCGGCGGGACGCGTCGGGTCGTTGTCGGAGTCGTAACTAAACTATGAAAATGTTGGCTGATGGCCGAGGCGGGCGCGGCGGGCGACGGGGCAGGGCGGACGAGCCGGAATGCGCGTGGGCCGCTGCACCCGTCCGTTGGATAACTCGCCCCGTTCACGTCCGTCACCTGTGACGTGCTGATGCAGAGGTGTTTTCCCTCGAAGATAGCTGGTGATCTAACTGTCTAATAACCGAACTACCCTTCGTACTGGGAAACTACGTCTCGTATAGTAAGAGATAGTATCTATTTGAGATAGTAAGAGATAGTATCTATTCGAGATTGTATTCTAATAAATAATTGTGTCAAAATTTCTGGATTAACCAACCACTGACGGATAATTCTTCTCTGGATATACATGTAGTGCGCAAAATACGCGCTACACGTGAAGTTGCGGAAACCGTATCTCTACAGCTAACTAACATGTAGAATTAACATCAAGGACTGATAGAAGAATAAGAATTGTTGATCCTATTTTTTAGGATTACAGGGAAAACAAGCAACAGCAAAAGGCTAGTATCAATCAAGAACATAAATATACTAAGAACAGCTAGGTTGTGGGAAAACCACGCGGTCAATTTGAGTTTACTTATGACATCCCGGACTTAGGGTAGGCTCTGAGCCTCTCACTGGGGACGTATACTGAGCTGATGAAAATGACATAACTGTGAATCCCAAATTGGACAATAAACTTCTTTATTTAGCCCTTCTCGAAGACTAATTGAAGATTATTTTGGTGCAAATAAATCAAAATAGTGAGCGATATATTTTTCTCGACGTCTCAGATCTGGAACGAGTTTTGGCACCTGGACTGCCAGGTGACAAATAAATCAGATGAATTACTGCACTCGGTATTCCAGTTAACTGACTAAACGTCTCATTAGTAGAAATAAACCTTAAGTTTGTCTTTACGTATTTGTGTGATTCTGGAACTATAACGAAAACTGTCGGTAGATCCGAAAAGGTAATTTGTCTAAACCGTTAAAATAGTTTTTTTTTTCAATCTTAATTATTTGATCAATCAATCTTAGATTTTATTTAATACAGACGATGCTACACATGAACATTTTAAAGAGTTTAAGCACAATACACAGGTAAAATACTTAGGTTGAGTCATAAGTTACTTATATTTCTTCGGCAGATATTTATTTTGCTAACATTAAGAACATATTCATGTATTACGTATTCTCCAAAACTATCCATATTCATCTCCCATTATCCTCATAGTTTATGAAATATCTTTATATATATAATTCTTCTGTGAGTGTGTATGTCACTGAACTTCTCTCAAACGACTGGACCGATTTTGATGAAATTTTTTGTGTGTATTCAAGGGGATCTGGGAATGGTTTAGATTCACAATTTTGTCCGCTGGACAATGTTTTTTTTAATTAATTTTTAATTTATTAGTAGTTGTTGATTTTGGAATGTTTTACATTGGATCCGACAGACGGCGCTACCATCGCAGTGTCAAATTGTCAGACAACGTCTGTCGGGTCTGCTAGTTCTATATAAAATGTTTTAGAATGGAAGAAACTTTCGACAGCATTCGATCTGGACCAAGTCCCAAATACAGTTGGTAATGTGTTGAAAGATAACGAACAAAACTTTTACCAAATACCAAACAACATTTTCCTTAGGACATTTCAAAGAAGAATTAGTCACCAGTCAAATATACTGAGAAAAAATAACGAACTGGCAAGTATCTTAGACTATCGATCACGTGTTTCGTTAATTGGTATCGAAATCAGATGAGCATCGGTTATGTTTGGTAATGAGTAATTGGGAAAGCATCCCGTGATTTGGCAAATGTTTGGCGCACGTGCTGTATGATGCAACCCAGAATTCATACGGTCGGGTCGATACATGCATTTGCATGCCTTGTGAGATAACGGTCTTTTGATATAGGGTGTTTTAGATATCATGATCTTGTTCTTCTCCCACTTATTTGGAGTCTGCACTACATGTTTTCTTCTAAATCGATCTATATCGTTCTTCGTATCAGTAGTTTTTTTTAAACAAGTGAATAAACATATTTCTTTGCTTTAACATATATTTTGGGTCGGTTTCTCAGAAAACGGCAAAGAAATATTTAAACACACAATCCAGAACTTTGTCTCTTCGGTTTAATTATTTCTCAGTGTATTTATAGAAAACACGACACGACGTTAACACTGAAAGAAATTATAAGAAAACGGCCAACTCTAAATATATCGGAGATAAACAACGATTCATTAGTTAATGAGTAACGCATGTATTTTGGCAAATTCTATCGATCATTTGTCGCTCACATCTTGGCTTAATATTACTGTAATTCCACTGACGAAATACTCGTACAAAAATATATCGTCATCCCTTTTATCTGCTTTGGAAATTTTGAAATAACAATACGTTCTGTACAGTGGAAATCCTAGATTATGGTCACAACCAGGGGTCGCTCGCGACTTCGTGACTTGACTTGACTTATTGTCCTATGTCTCCACAGTGAGACTTCGTCAACAACCTAAAATAATGGAAAGTAATCTATGTTCCTTGTGCATAAATTACCTTCCAGTGATAGTCCCGTTTAAATCAGTCCAGCCATTTCGGAGATCACCCGTAACAGACGCGAATTATCAGACAGGCAGACAGACAACCAAAAATTTACAAATAGATTCGTTATAAGCAACGTTTCCGATTTTTTTAATTATTTACAGAAATACACGGTAAAATTGCACACAATTGTGTCATGGACTTCGAATTAATTTTAACTTGATTTCTAATTAAAATCAGACACCTACAAACTTGTCAAGAAATTGCAATTTCAAAACCTCTGTAAAAATCAGTCGAACATTTGCCGAATTTTATTTGCCAAACGGATAATCATTTATAATTATATTATTGCGTATTCAGACGTTGATTGTTATGATGAACATTCGCGTTACATATTCATAGTATAAGCTAATGTAACCTCGGTAAAGTATGGCGTATGATTCATGCAACATGCAACTATAAATACATTGATTTGTTATCGTTATTTGGCATGTATCAATTTTAAAGATGCAACTGGAACCTATATTTCTCATAGTGCGTAGATTTACTATTCAGATTAACTAGTCAGCGATACTTTTTTTATCATCTTTACGTCCCCATAGAGGGGCTTCGAGTCTACCCTAAGTCAGAGGCGACTAGGCTATAGTCAAGCAAGCTCTCCCAATTGGTTGGTTGACTGCACACATATCTTTGAATTTCTTCTCAGATATATGCATATGTAAATGGAAAAATACATTCGCAAATGGAGGAATTCGAACCCAGGACCTGCAGATTACAAATAAAGTGCTCTATCCTCTTAGCCACTAATTCTCTTTTTGATGTATCCTAAATACCTTTTAATGAAGAAAACCTCCGTTGAGTTGATCTTAATCTTTGATCTTTTATAATTATAATCTAGATAGTTAAACAAAAGTAACATTTATAAGAGCACAGAAAACCCACGCACAGTTCGACATCTTGATCTCGAAGGCGTACATATATGCATTACGATGCATTGACGAACTATTTATGACGGATCTGTGCGAACCGACCAAGTCTAATTATATCCAACCAGTTCACTTGCTGGGCTATTTTTGATATATTCGATTTACGAATAAGTCTTGCGTCATATTGTTAAAGTATACTTCCGATACATCTGAAATTAAACAATTTAATGAATCAGGTTCGTTTTAACTATCAGATATGACAGCTGATGGAGATGTATGGTGAAGTAGTACGTACTTTGCGGACCCTCCGTAGGGATAAGGGTAGGTTGATGATGAGGTGTGAAAAAATGAAAAGCTTACACGCTTTTATCTCCCACTCTATTTGTGGTCAGCGTAACAGATTTTCGTTCTGCAGATTGATTTATCTTCTTTATTGTCGTCGTCGACATATGTCCCCACCGAGGATTTCAGAACCTACACAGGTATCTAATTCTGATCGAATGGTATTCAAATTCATTACAAATATGATTTTATGTTTATAAAATAAATAAACAAACCAAAATAAATAATTCCAGCAATTATATGTGATATGAAATTGGCGTGTATTTTTGCCAAGGCATCAGAGCAGAGGCAATTCGTCGAAACTATAAACTGACATTTGATTGGCGCGTTTATGTGGTTTTTAACGAGTACAGTCGAACAGTTACACAGCGGGTTTGATTTAATGATGCAAAATGAAGGATGTTGGTCCACGAATCGAACTGAGTTTATGGAAAATTCAATATTTAAACCGATTCCAATTTCTCATGGACGAAGTCCTTAATGGATAAATCTGTAATACAAAATTTAAGGTACAATAACGTCGACAGGATAAGCGAAAATACAAGAGAGCGCAATATTTTTCTCTCTTATAGAGGTTTCCTTCAAACCAGAGTTTCTTCCTTACGGAGTTTGACCATCGGAACATGGCTTAAAGAGGTTTCTCGCTTACGCAGTTTCAACTGTATATTCTGAGTGAGCGACGGGCCGCGTCCGCGAAATAATACCAGTACCACTTATCCTGAAGAAGAGCCCCCGATGGGCTCGAAACTAGTCGGTGCTGCCACCGGACGAATATACGTGAGTGTTTAGCCGTGTTTATATATCAGTTTGTATATTCTTGTGTGTTTCATTGTGAACTCTAACAAATCTTATTTATATTATGTAAATATTATGTAAAATAAATAGGGTTTTAAATAGAAGAAGAATACATATGGTAAACCGTTTAGATATCTAAAGGCTTCATCATTCAATATCTAAGCTATCAGATTCAATAAACTTAAATATATACGTTAATATACGTTCATTTTAATAGCCTATGCACTTACGCATCAGTTAATTAGGAGTGACCTCCGCAGTACCAAAGAGAAAGCAAACGTTCGTGCCAAAAGCTGAACGAACGAGTTATTGTCACTAATCGAGACGCTACTCAACAACTCTTCGAATTTATTTAGGTACAGTTGCCAAGACAAGAAAGAAGTGCTCAAATCATATTCCAACCTTGCCCTACTCTACAGTTTTAAGGTTAAACCACAGGTGGATAATGAAATATTGCGAAAATATTTATGAAAATACGCTACTGTAACTATCCTTAACTCCTGTTGGGTATTTAAATAAAAGTTCTCTTAAACATGAACTATGTATTCAATGTGATTTTTCATTGGAATTCAAATGAAATTTATTATAAAATTATAAATATGCGATACAGTAATCAATTCATAGAATACTGCCTACTTCTTTTAAGACACGTATCGAGTCACGTAGACTGTTTTTCATTTGTAGTGGTGATGAAGAGGTGGAATAAATAGTCTATTTATATATGCAAACGTGTAAGGTCTACTCCGAATACATTGTTTATTATATTATATATTTCTTGAAATTTTTCCTTTTAGTAGTTTATCTTTTAAAAATAACATCTATATTACTTCGTTCTCTTTTTTTTATTTTATTGTCTGATATGAATAGTATTTATCAAGTTATTAAAAAAAAAACTATATTAAATATAGTGCAAAATATTTACATGTGTATATTCTGTTGATTATATGTAGGATTTGCCGAAATATGTGTATATTTATGTTACATATTAAATGGCCCATGTTATATAAACACTGGTGTATTTATTTGATGTATATGAAAAGAAAGTTGCCAAATAACTAATGATAATAGGGCTTTAAATATAATAAAGAGAGATTATGAGATCGAGAAACATATCGTACTAACATTATAAATACGAAAATACAGATGGATCTATGTTTGTTAGAAGGTATCTTGGGAACAGCTCAATGGATCTTGATGAAAGTTGGCACGGATGTAACATAGTCTGGAAGAATAGGCTAATAATTAAGATTTTCTCAATTCCGCGTGGACGAAGTCGCGTCGGACAGCTAGACTTTTTTAAATAAACTATCTGTCGCCCGTGACACCGTCCTCGCGGAATTTAATAAAAAAGTACCCTATGTTTTCTTACAGACTATGTTCTACAGCTATGCAAAATTTCAGCGAGATCCGTTGAAACAAACCGCCATCCATCCATCGAAACATTCGCATTTATAATATTAGTAAGATTTATTCTAAGGTCATATCCAATAATTACAACATAGAGTTGCTTGGATTACAAAGCCACATTAACCAACAAACAAACAAGTCGATTGTAAAATATTAAGTCCACTTCTCTTTATCCCCCGCTTTTACCCCGCGCTGGCCCTCACGGCGTATGGGGAGCGTCCTCCGGGTGGCGGATGGGGGAGTGGTCGGTAGTACAGCATAGCTACGCTACCCGGCTAAGCCCGATGGGCTCGCTTACCAAAGTAGGGTGTGGTCCTCCAGCAATATGGGGGTTGTGCGGCGGGTTGACAACTCGCCCACGGAAAAAAACAATTGTTACGAAACCGACAAAAGAGAAGAGAATACGATCTGATCCCAAACCCAACAAACACTGGCGAGGAACAACGGACACCCGATTAGCCACATGGAACGTACGGAGTCTTTACAGACCAGGATCCATATATAATGTCCTGCGAGAAATGGAGACCTATGGAATAGGGATAGCGGCGCTACAGGAAGTCCGATGGCCTAGGCAAGGAGAATGTAACATTGACAACAGAGCTACCCTTTTCTATAGCGGCTCGGACTCCGGGCACCATGTGAATGGAACTGGCTTTCTCATCCGGAATAGCTTACTAGGAAACGTCCTCCGTTTTGTTGCTGTCTCAGACAGGATCTGTCTGCTTCGACTCAAAAGCCGATTCTCCCACATCACAATCATCAATGCGTACGCACCCACAGAAATATCTAGTGAGGCTGCCAAAGACAGCTTCTACGAAGATCTAGAAGCCTTATACGACCAAGCAAACAGATACGATGTCAAAATTCTAATTGGTGACTTTAATGCGCAAATTGGGAGGGAGGAGGCTTTTGTGCCTACTATTGGTCGCCATAGCAAACACAATACGTCTAATGATAATGGTCTAAGGTTGATCACATTTGCAACGTCGAAATCGTTAGTAATCAAGAGCACCATGTTCCCCCATAAGGAAATCTATAAGGGCACGTGGAAGTCCCCTGACGGTATGACCGTCAATCAGATAGACCACGTCCTCATCGATGACAGACACAAGAGCATCATACAGGACGTCAGAAGTTACAGGGGAGCAGACTGCGATAGTGACCACTACCTGCAAGTGGTCAAAATAAAACCAAAAATAAATACAAAGAAAAGGGCCAAAGTAGACAAAGAAGACCTATTAGACGTGGAGAAACTTAAGGACCCAGCTATAGGCACCCAATTCCAAATAGAGACCAGCAACAAATTTAGCGAACTAAAGGTGGACGAAACGGACATAGAAGACCTTTGGAAGAATGTTAAAGACACAGCCAAGCAAGTGGGCCTACAGACAATAGGCAGAAGGAAAAGAAAAAAGAAGAAGTGGTGGACAGAAGACTGCGAAAAAATAGTGGAAGACAGGAGGAGACTTCGTATTCTCGCAGAACAAGACCCGCGGCAGAACCAGCTATATAACGATTTTAGACGGCAAGCGAAAAGAGTAATACGGCAAGCCAAAAGGATACATCTAGCAAAAAAGGATAAAAGAGATGGAAACCCTGATAAGAGCCAATGAGCCACACAAGTTCTACCAGGAGATCCGGGCTGTCAAAAAAGGATATCAACCTACCGCACAAATTCTTATCGACGAGGTAGGCAATCTTGTGACAGACGAAGAACACCTCAAAGAGATGTGGCGGTCATACTTTCAGGGTTTATTGAATTGTCCAGAGCCAGAGCGGACTGTAAATTTAAACGGTGAGGCAAACACACATACAGATGTAGCGCCGTTATCGTTTGAAGAAGTCAAAAAGGCGATAATGAGGCTGAAAAACGACAAAGCTCCTGGCATAGACAGTTTACATGCCGAAATATGGAAGTACGGGGGAGTCGCCACCCAGTGCATACTATATGAGCTGCTGTGTAAGATATGGTCTGCAGAACAACTGCCGCGAGAGTGGAAAGTGGGTATCATCGTCCCTATCCATAAAAAAGGATGCAAGAAGACGTGCTCAAATTATCGAGGAATCGCTTTGCTCCCGACAGCGTACAAGGTACTATCTTACGTGCTGCTGAATAGACTAGAGCCCTACGCGGAACAAATCATCGGGGATTATCAGTGTGGGTTCCGACGAAATCGTAGCACGGTGGACCAAATATTTCTCCTGAAGCAGCTTATGGAGAAGAAATGGGAGTACGCACAAAGCATTCACGCACTGTTCGTAGACTTTAGCAAGGCCTACGACAGTGTAGATAGGGGGTCACTATACGCCATACTCAACAACTTCGGAATCCCACAAAAACTGATCAATATGATCAAGATGGCTACCCAAGAGAGCAAAATGCGCATTAGGGTTGGAGGCGAAGTCACCGAGGAGTTTGAGGTAGTTACCGGGTTAAAGCAAGGAGATGCGCTGTCCCCGATGTTGTTCAACATAGCCCTGGAGCATGTCATAAGAAAATTGCTGGCATTGGACACCGGGATACGGCTAAATGGACAACATAGGGTGATCGGATATGCCGATGACATAGCTCTTCTGGGTGAGAGTAAAGTAGAAGTGCAGTGCGCGGTTCGAGCTCTGATCTCCGAAGCCTCTAGGGTTGGGCTCAAACTTAACCATGATAAAACGGAATATCTCCACATGAAACGCTACAATAACACAAGAAAAGAGCGTGAAGATTTGCGCGTTGGCGATATTCTGTTCAAAGGGACCGCCAAGTTCAAGTACCTGGGATGCACTATAACGGACACCAATACACGAGAAGAGGAAATTAACATCCGGATTCACAACGCCCTCCGTTGTAGTGCCGCTCTGCACCAAGTGTTAGTGTCGAAGCTACTGAGCAGAAGAACCAAGATACGGATATACAAAACGGTGATAAGACCGATCTTGCTATACGGCTGCGAAACCTGGACACTGACCCTTAAAGAGGAGGAAAAGCTTCTGGTGGCGGAAAGAAAAATCATGCGCAAGATCCTGGGCCCAACACTAAGAGAAGACGGCAGCTGGAGAACCCGCTACAACGCGGAAATTGAGACGCTGGTGGGTGAGCCGAATATCATCGGAGAAGCAAAAGCTCAAAGACTCCGATGGCTGGGCCACCTCATGAGGATGGGGGAAGATCGAAAGGCCAAAGCAGCATACCTCGGGACCCCGATTGGCCGCCGACCCATCGGTCGGCCCAGGTACCGCTGGCGAGACGCCGTAGAGCTGGATCTGCGGGAGCTACAAGCGATGGACTGGCAGGAGAAGGCGCAAGACAGGCGACTTTGGCGATCTCTTGTGTCGGAGGCCAAGACCCACTTTGGGTCGATGCGCCAGCGGAGTAAGTAAGTAAGTACTTCTCTTTATTCTTACTCCAAAGAGATATCATTTATTAAATAGCCGGTAATAAATGTTTCCGTGCTTTGAGTGTTTGAAGAAGTTGGAACAGCTGCCGACTGGTCGTTAAATATGACATAGTTATATGGTTATTTCTGTAATATAGTCGATTCACTAATACCCTAGCATCATTTCCATCTTCTTGATGATTTTGCTGGGTTTAAGAATGATCAATTTGTTTATGATACACGTGATTTTAAGTTTATTGGATAAAAATTATTTGTTCATTGCTTATTCTCCTTGGAAGGATGTAGGTGTTACCAAACCATCTGTCATTAAAATTTTTACATGTGTTCAACGAAAATGTTCTCGCTGTTCATCGATATGTAAAAAATTAGTTTTTTTTTAGATGTAATGATGTAATAAAATTCTTTATACATACATCCCATCTTTATACATACATCCATCATTTAAAAATGTATGTATGATATTAGCTCTTGAACTATAGAATAGTTTTAATAAAATATCTATTTCTCTTATAATACGCATTTAATACGATGTGACAGATGAAAAGGAAAGGGTCTGACAGTTGTTATTAAAATATCATAACGATTAATAAAATTTAAGTAAACAAAATTTACGACTATTACTAAATAGTCGATGATTAAAAGTAACATTGTGGCTTTTATTAATAATAACTACTCATAATTATATTTCGTAACATGTTGGACGTCGGCCATGTTGGTGGAGACAGTGATGGTGTTTCGCTCGTGTGCGAGTGAGACAGGTGATAATCTTGTGTGAAAAATATTTATGCTAAGGCCTTCTGGTCCGTTTGCTCTATGAATAGTCAGTCGGTTCAGCGATTGGTTATTTTTGTTGTACAGTTTGAAGGTTAGCTACTATCGATGTTTCGAAACTTTCAAAAGAAATTTTCTTTTTTGTGATTTAAAATTTTTTGTTTTAACAAATTGCGGTTACTGACCTTAATATTGATAGAATTAGTAAAACAACATTTTAGTTAAAATGAGATTTATCTAATGGATTCTATCCATATTATACGGCTCATAATTTATGATAGATAACAATTTTTTTTTACAAATTGTGTTCTACTTATCTGGCGACTTTTGACAGATCGAGGTTGACCAGCATTTTATTTGGAAAGTTTTATATCACTAAAACATTTGTAAAAGTTAAAAGTGTTACTATTTAGTTATCTTACTTTGTCACGTATGTTAAAATGCAAAATGTTAATAGTTGCAAATTATAACAAATCCTACATGCGTACCAAATTCGTCACTTCGCTATTTCAGCGATTTCAGGTGGCCGCCCCCTCGTTTGCCACCTTATGATATAAAAAAAAGGTTACTTTCAACCCGAGGTTCATGCTCATGGAGGCTGTCAGTAGGAACCGGATGACTGTTGCTTAGGTATTTCTTGATTATCCAACTGCAATACATATAATCGTCCTTTACATTTTCCTTAACAAAACAGAGACAACAGTATGTATTTACATATGTCACTACAGAACACAGATATTTACACTAGTTTTTTTTATTTACATAATTTAAATAAAATATTTTACTTCCTTCATAGTAGACTTGAAATTATAAAGTAAATATAACCTGATATCTTTTTATACACTTTAAAATTAATGGTTCAAAGATAAAACGTTCAACAGTTGAAAATAACATTAGTCTTGGCAAATGTTTGGCATTTCTATCTCTGATAGATAGTGTAATGAATTTCACCTACACCGAAATAAAACTTTATCTTGAAAGAATAATTAGAAAAATTATTTCATTGAATTAAATTGGGCGATGCACTATAGTTGGTCGTATGACTTTTGACGTAAGTAACGAATCAACACGTGGTTAATTGCAAACTAAAAGTAAATAAATGTAAAATTGTTTTGAAGCTAATTGCTCTTAAGCGATATAATAATCGATTTCGTCGCCATTTTACTAAATTCCAATGTGTCTAAATCAGACGATAGTTACAGGCGTAGCAAAATTTATAAGGTTTTTTTTAAGATGTGATTCATCACCGTATGTATTTTCCACGATAATTATAAAGTGAAACTTATATAACTTACTTAGTTTAAAGTATCATAGTAACGTATGTCATAAATGTATAATATAATAATACTAGATTAAATTAAAATTAAAAGAAAAAACAAACAAAAATAATATATTTTGTCGTAGATGTGATGTCTACGGGACCGTCTACGCTTCTACGATGTCTACGAAATGTAACAACGTTGCTACGTGTGCGGTGCTACGGCGCGGTAAGTCATGTAAAAAAAATATAAAACCTTATGTAATGAAATTTAAGAGTAGCTTTAAATTATGATAAGGGTAATATCATGATATCAAACTTTTAGTTAAAAATGTTTTTTGTGTGTAGTTAGCTTAACAATTTTTTTTAACTAATTTCCCTCAAAATAAGAATGCTGAAAAGAAAATTTAGCTAGTATCTTATTATAAAAAACATATAAGTATTGTTTTCTGAAGATCAAACAGCATCTTGAGTTTCAAAATCGGTCAAGGTATTTAAGCTACTGATGGTTACACCTTTACATTTTGACTCTAGTAGCTGCCCTCCGCGGTACCTCAAATGTCAGCTAAATACGTTTACCCGTTGTGAAGTTATAACAAAACTCCATCCATACATATATGTTGACGATTCTACTACCGTTATCTCTAATCGAATTATACTTTGACTACAGATTTAGATTAGATAAAAGTATAGGCATGTCGAACAAGTACCATTAATTACTCTTAGTTATTAAACACAGAATATAAATTAATATATGTCGATATCGCTCAATCCGTCTGTCGCTTGTATGTTCCGGCAGCGCTCGCCGTCTGCAACCTAATTACGTCTACAGATTTAGCTAGCAAAACTCCATGTTGCTTGTTTTACTTACAACTAATTCCTCTTATTTCTTGTCTAAACTGGAATATACCGGTTTACTGGTGACTGTGAATTTTCCTATGATTTTACACGAAATAAACATCCTATAACTGTAATTACAAGTACCGCTACTTCGTTAACCGTAATCTATTCATAATCTATGCATCTTTTCCTCGTAATCTTTAAGTTTTTTTCATTTTATTACCACTTAGTGTATTAAAACAAAAATCAGATTGATATGTGCTCTGGTATTCCCAGTCTTCCTGTATAGAGTAGAGACGTGGACAATACAAGCCCGAGAGAGGGAAAAGATTGATACATTCGAGATGAGGTGCTG